CAGGGTCTCCTTTCCCTCGCTCATTTGCGTTTACTAGACCACCCAAGGAAAATTGGAGGAGACAGTGTCGCTCTGTCTCAGGATCGAGAAATATCAGGGACTGGTATGCGCCATCTCCTAGGGATCGATCTAGGCATGATGATCTATAGCTTCTATAATTGCTGATAGTATGCTTCTTCTAGTACAACAGCAACTCTCATCATCTATAGCTATTGTTGATCATAGGCTTCTTCTAGTACAATGGATCATCGCGATCGAGTAAAGAACTACGAATACGAAACGAATACTTCTAGTCTTGAGCTACCACCTCGTGTGCCTTCTCTACTTTATGAGAAATATGAATTCGCGGTTGTTTCAAGATCATGACTGGCTTTTTGTGTCTCTGAGTGCTCCTGACAATTCTCGACGCTCTCAATATTATCTAACCTTCTTCTATGTATTGCTTTTGCTTACTAGTAATAACAAGGATTGTAGATCTTCATTTTTCTTTTTTAGACATCATCTTCTTTAGAAGTACATCATCATCTTAGCTATGTTGGAGTTCTTAATCTGATCTAGTTGAATGACATCAATAGTAGTTCTTTTATCATCTCCTAAGTAAAACTTCTGTCTCAGACATAGTACCCATTGAGTCGGTCGCTACTTCTTATCCCACTGCTTCTTGCTAGACGAGCCAATTCCACAAGACCGAATAGGCTTCGCGCTGTTGGTAGTACTAGTGGTAGTAGAGGTAGTAAACCTAATCGTAGGGCACAGTCCGAAACGGGGTCGGCCCATTTCTTAAGGAAACACATTTCTAAGTAACTTAGCTTGGAACTTCAGGACTGCTACTTCGTTCGCAGACACAAACGCAGTAGTACTTCTTTTACTAAATTATAGGTGGAAAGTTATTTTTTCTTTGTAGTAGTTAGCCCAGCTCGTAGTTTCCATTATACGACATAGCGTAAAATTCCCTGCGATCATCGCCCTTTCCATATTAACTCCTTCGTTTGTGAAAAGCTATGGGAGAATCAGAAAGAGGAAGAGCCCACTTCCTTGAGGCCTGCAAATTTCTTAGGGCAAACAAGTTCAAAGTTCGTCAATGTTGTCAGACTCAGACTCAGGTGGCAGCGTCGGCGGCCTTCATCTCGTGGCCCTTTGTCGCATCATGTACTACTGTTTTGGTATTCGGTCACCTGATTTTTTCGCTCTCAAAAGGGGTCGCTTCTCGCTTTCCCCTGCTGGGATCAAAGTCACAAGTTACCAAAGAGCCATTTATTGGAAGAGACATCCTGCTTGCTACAAAACATCCAGTGCGTCAGGAGCGTCGAAGGGAAAGCGCCATCCCCTGCTTTGGAAGTACCTAGCACTACCTAGCGCCATCCCCTGCTTTGGAAGTACCTAGCACTACCTAGCGCCATCCCCTGCTTTGGAAGTACTTACCTAGCAGAATGATCCCCTGCTTTGGAAGCATCTGCACCATAATCCCCTGCTTTGGAAGTACCTAGCACCATCCCCTTTGGAAGTGCCATCCCCTTTTGGCCATACAAAGAGAAAGCATCATGATCTCCTTTGCAAGTACGTAACAAGCGAGTGCGGAAGGATGGCACCGGAAAGATCCCACACCTGCTAACAAGACAACCCGTCTCTTCATACACACTAAGAGACGACCAGACGGGGCATCATGGGCAGATGCAACATGGATTACCTAGAGGATTTCTATGAAGCGTATTGGCTAGGTAGAGGATGATATGTTTCCCTGCTCATACAACTACCCCAAACCCTGCTCATACAAGTAAGTTGTCCTGCTAGAGGAATATATTCCCACCTGCTCATCAAGTGCTTGCTACTCTTACTTCATCACGCAACCTGAGACAAACAGTCATCTCACGCGATCAAATCCCATCATCTAGCCAACATAACAGCACCTTCTAGATTATGAGACTCATTCCTGAGTATATGCCTTCGGCAACATCAACGAGCTTGTTCTTGATCATTATGCCTTGAAGATATAATTAGAAACGAAGCAACGCACGATATTATTCAGATAATAACATTAAGCCTGACAAGGAGCCTCCATCAATGATTTTTCATAATATTAACAAGAACGTCATGACTACCATAGGGATAGCGACAAAACTATATTTATGAACTTCATAATTCTTTTTCTTGTGTGTCTCTACTAACTTGTTCTTTTCATACGGCCTTAGAAGTACAACTCACTGACTACATCATATCAACAATTCAAAAATTCTTTTCGTTCTTTTCTGCGTCGACGGACATGTTAGAATAATTCTTCTGCAGCTCTCGTTAAATTTACCAGTGCCAGCTACCCTCGAAGAAATTCTTTATCTACAGATGATCACCCATCAGTTAGGACTACTTTTGATTACGACCTCCTGATCAGAATTGCGTAACTGCTGTAAGAATAATGGCGGCCGCGACGCACGTCCAGGATAGTTCTTTTGAGGCGCCCTCTGCGCCTACCAGCCTCCCAAAGTCCCTACCTTGTAGCATTCTTCTCCCGAGATTACTACCTGGCAGCACTTCCTGGACGTACCTACAGTTGCTTCTGCTCCATCACATTCGTCTCTCACTCCAAAAATGCTATCGAGCAAACATCCTCTCCAAATAATACTCGATACACAGGAGAGCACAGTGCCAGAACTCCGACAGCGCGCTCGCCCGTCAAACAAGTTTGCTATTCTTACAAGTAGTGGCTTCGGCTTGTTGTAAACTAATAAACACGACTCCGGACGAATAGACCAGCTGCGAGAGGACGAATCCACTGCGTCGAGGGGACGACGCTAGAATGATTATGATCGGAACGGTCCTTTTCCTCCGCATAAATCAATGACATTGATCAGTCTTTATCCTAAATTAGTTAAAAAACTAGCTGAATGGTTTGGGACTGGCTGAGCGCTAGCACTGCTCTATGTCATAACTACTCATCTACAAAAAAACAAATACCGGAATTCAATGTTGCTGCCGTAGCCAGAAATCGGAGCGAGCATCCCGGACAGAAACTTCTTATTAGTTATTACTCCGAAAAAATCATCAGAAAGAAGAAAACAAACCGCTTATTTGGGGTTCGACGTCGTGCTGGGAGGCCCCGTGGGGTGGGCTTCCCGGGAATAACAGCAACAAGGATGCCTCATCTTGGCGACCTACGCAATGTCCTTGCGTATCTCCAAAATCTAGGAAAAAGCCACTCCATCGTACCGTTTGTGCGGTGGTTCTGTTCTCCAAAAAAAAAAAATGAAAAAAATGTTCCCAGTATCAACAATAAGAAGCATCAATAAATTCAAAAAATTAGCTTGCCGCAGGGCGCTGGACACAATAGATACAAAAGACAGTCTATTTGTTCCCACAAAAAACCTGGGCAGACTGCCGCAGCGGCCGCGTCATAAAAAAGAAAAATCATGCGGCCAGACGAGCTTATCGAGGAAAAAGGCAAAAGCAAATAGAAGTGAACGGCTGGCGCCTCGCAGACATCACCGGAGCAGTAGAAGCTGAAATCATCAGGCTAGAACAAGACTGGCACGCAGTATACAACTAACAAACTTCGTAAAAATACAAGATCAATAAGGTTGCAACATACGCACAGGCCGGCTTCTGTAGTAGGCCCCCCCACAGTCGAAGTACAAAGAAATGGCACTTGAGAAATCGTGCGCATGTGCCACAGCTACGAATGCGAAGCTGCTAGTACTAGCGATACCCTTCCAACATAACACGGATACGAAAGTGAAAAAGCTAGATCTATATAGGCGTAGACCTTCCTTTGCAAAATTATAAGTGGATAGTCTTTTAGTTGAACGATATCAGGCACGTGCGCAGTCGATCACTCAACGGACCGGACGACGGTCAAGTACGTACCCAGCCCCAGCTCGAGGGAGCCCCCACGTCAAGAAGAAAGGCCAGTCAAGAACGGTCAGTCAAGAGTGGGCTTCTTTGTTTCTTGAACCAAGAAGGTCTGAGTCTGACACATCACTCAGGTCTTTGATGAGAGTTCATCACTTTATGACACTTCTCATACTTATAAGAGCTCCAGCTGCCCAAGAGCTTCTTCTGTAGCACATCTATGCAATTTCCGGAGAAGACGCAATCCGCGGCAATCAAAATAATAGCTCAAAAACCAAAGATCCTCAAAAATCGAAAAACCGTTGCCGCATGATGGAATCAGATGGAGAAACAATCCTCAAAAATCAACAAACCGCTGGCGCAAGGCCAAAATCAAAGAACCCTCCCTCATCTATTTCCATACTAAAACTAATGCTATATTCTCATTGTTACACGCAAGCTGTAACTAATGAGCGAATGGTGCTCCTGTAGATGTCCTCCACGGAAAACTACACAAATGAAAATGTGCATCGTGCTACTATCCTTCCCCTACTTTGTTACACGGACGGCTACTCGGGGTCGCCAGTTGGTATCATTATTCGAGAACAGCTAAAAAAGGTACATAAGCAGTACAGAAGCTAGCAGCTCGAGGCAGGTCTAATAGTTGTACGTGTGTCGTGCTGAGAAGAAATATTATACAACATCGAGGACAAGAACACGAGAACACTTCATCGTCTTGGATGGACATGAACAAAAAAAAGCGCGATAAAAAAACATCGCTTCTCACAATATTAACAAGCCCAGGACACCAATAAATGAATGTCACTTAAGCAGACATAAGCACGCATACGCGCGTTTGCTTCAGCTCCAAGTTCAAACGCCATGACTTTCAAAGACCTAGATTCCCAAGCTACACCCAAATAAACACCAGCAGACCATAGCCATCCCACATGGTCCATCAACCCACCAAACCGTAACCGTTTCCCAAATCATACAAAGTAGCTACAAATGGTATTAATTGATATACTAACTAGTCACATTCGCAGAGTGAAGCTATTCTAGAGCGCATGCGATGGAAGTGCACACACAGGAGAAGCATCAAGAAAGTCAATCTGGCTATGGAAGTTAATACACCTCAGAGTACCTACATGTAGCAAATCTACTGTCAGAAAAGCGCGGCTTTACGCCGTGGGGGCATCATCAGCAGCAGCGGATTTTGGATTGTTCTTGACGTGGTCTACAGCAGCGAGGATGACGTTTGCTGCCTTTTCCGCGTACTCTTTTTGCACCGTCTCGTCAGAACGATCCGTGCCTCCTGCGAGGTTTAAATCATCCCAAGACCCCTGGCTCATGGAGGCCGGCTTCGTGTCTTGCAGATTCTCACTCACTCCACCGGTGGCTTTCAGCGGAATGACAATCCCGCCACCTTCACGAGCGATAGCTGCTTCCTTTGCCACCCCCGCGCCGCCTGCAATAGTAATTACAACCTCACCGAGCAGGCCAGTGAGTCGGTCCTTTCGTGGATCGCCCTTTTGAAAATAAGGCACATCCAGCGGCTGTCCTTTCCAACCATCAAGCGCGGGGACATTGTTGCCTTTCAGATTGTGGACCACGGCGGCAGCGTGCTCGGCGAAGAGCTTCTGAGTGGGTGACACGCCTCCCGTGACGTAGACCACGTTCTTGTCTTTGCCCAGTTCCTCCAGCTTTTTTGCCAGCAAAGGAACCACGTTCTTCAAGAACTCCGTCTCCTCCGTCACGCGTTTGTCTTCGGCGTCTTGGTCCGTTACTTTTTCGTCCTTACGGGGAAAACCACCTCCCAGGACAGTGACAATCACACGATCTCCCGTCCCTTCCTTCTTGAGGCTTTCTCGGAGCTTCTTCGCTTGATCGTCCACCTGTAGATTATAGAAATAACCATGCAATTCCAACAAGCGACGATATGTTACATACAAGACAGAATGCACGCAAGGAAGCGAAAAGAAGCAACAAGTAGCTGCAAACCGTAGTATCTACAATATAGCAGCACATAAAACGCACCGAGGAAAAAGAAGCCGGTGCATGGGGCTGGGAGGAACAAATCCACTGGCGCGCCCGGACCTTACTGGACACCCGAGACACAACTATAAAACCCCCTGAGTGGCGCGCGTTCTTGAAAGACGAGGTTACACATCGGACTTCGCTCACTTCGACTTCCACAAACACAAATACTATACCTAGCCTAAGTACTACTCTTAAGACAGCCTCTAAAATGGAAAACGTTGCATTTATAATTACTTAAGTATGTTGACGCAAACAAGCTGCCAACTCATAATTACTTACTTCTTTGTAATGTTAGACATGACGCACGGGTTAGACGAAAAAGTCCAAGACCAACTGAAATGCAGCAACTCTTTCGGTTCGCGTCCTCCCCGACCACGCGATGAGCATGAGGGAAGAACCCGAATGAGCCTAAGGAGCTGTAGGAAGGCCCTCCGGAATCTATTCGGGGGCTTCAACAGCTCGCCTGAAGACGGCAGCGGGAACGGAGGCTCTCACAACACAGACCGGGGCCAACCACATGAGACATCAGGGGCAGAAAGAGTCGGTCACCCGATATTGCCAGGCAGTGACATGCGCACCATCAGAGTGAGCGACTCTGTATGAATACCAAAAACGAACCGTCGGCAAAACCGGACAAAAACGACCCCTCACGCCAGGCGCTTGGCCCTCAGCCTCAAAGCTTTCAGCCACAAGCTGTTCCTCCCTCAGAAATCGTCTATAACGAACAAGAAGGTGACTCAATACTAATCATAAAAAGATGAACCTAGGACTTTCTAAGGTCAGTATTTCGAAGAAGTAAGAATGTAGAGAGGACTTCAGCCGAGTCTCTGAGTCAGCAGGCGACTCAATACTAATAATTAATTTTACCGAACGTTTCGCGGCATCGACAGCGAGCCCGACAACGGTACTCACGTTCTCTGTGTAACCACCCACCTTTGTGTCATCCGTAAACTCTTCTCGCGAATTTTCCCACTCTAAATCGGTCCAGAGTTTAGGCGACGCACCAAAGTCGCCCTTCCGAACCTTGTCCTTGGTAAAACCGCCAGTGGCCGTTAATGGTACGAGTTTTGCGTCATTATTCAGAGCAAAATTTGCCTCCTTCACCACCGCTTCGCGACCAGAAATCGTGATGACAACGTCACCAAGTAGGCCCGTGAGCTTGGCCTTCCGACTATCTTTCGGGTCATTGTGAGGATAGGGAACGCCCCATGTATTCCCTTTCCAGTCTCCCTCCAAGGGAGCAGCTTTGCATGTGACAGGCTCGCCTTTGAGATTGTACAGGCGCGCTTCTGGCTTTGCCTTCGCGACGCCTTCGCCGAAAAGCCTTTGCGTGTCGGATGCGCCACCTGTCACGAAGACAACTTTGTCCCCCATTTGATTGGCCAACTTCCCTGCCACAGCAGGAACCACTTTCTCCAGAAAGTTCTTTTCCTTACCCTCGCTGTCGAACTGCTGTGGAGTGAAATTGCCTCCCAAAACAGCGATAACGACGCGGCCTTCCGTCTTGTGCTTCTTCCAGAATTTCAATGCTAGCTGCTCCTCCTCCTACAATAGGATAAGATAATATAAGATAGGATAGGTTGCTGTTGCCCACTCTACATAGATCGTGCTACAATACATGAATAGACATACATATTCTCACACAGTCGACACAAATATTTGGAAGACACATACCGCTGCCCCAGCATTCATCATCTGCTCTAGACGGGCATGTGCCTATTCTTGCTATAATATCTTCGCAAAAGCAGGGCGACGGGCTACCACGACATACAAGAGTATGAAGACTATTTACCCCGTTCTTGATCATGGCGCTCCCACCTGTGACTTGCTATGTGAAGAGAGAAAAATGGCCGGGCAGCGGAGGGGCCTAGCAAGATTAAGGCTACAACAGAGCCAAACAAAAAAAAAGGCAGGAAGTACTAGAAATAGAACTGCCGTCGGAGTGCTATCGAATGGTCCGAAGCCGGTGCTTGGAAGTGCAGAATGCCATTGTATGCGTAGGGGCACAAAAACTTTGTCCCAAGGGCCCCTACAGCGCACCCGCTGCCTCACATTGGTGGACGACGAGGCGAAGCAAGCCTTGCAGACACGACGACCATCACACGACACAGCAACATGGACCCGCCTCTTCCGTCAAAGCTAATCCTTTGGGATTTGCTGCTCATCCAACTGTACTGCTCGGGCATCTATTCGGTAGCAGAGTTTTATTCTCAAGGGCTCTCTCCTTGCTTTCCCTTGTGATCAAAATCAGGTCACAAAATTCCAGAACCATGATTTACCTACCCACCCAACAAAGGAGGCATCTTCAAGGCTAGCCGAACCCCGGGTGGATCATTCGACACCAGGCGCCTCTGCCTTTCTTTCACTTTGCACATACAACTCCAAAAAAAAAATATGGGTTCTGCAAAGAAGTGGTGTATGCGAACAAGCTAAAAACCAACAGAGAGAGGATTCTGAAAAACGTTGTTTTAAACCGATCAAAATTTCAGACGCAAATGAAAGTGACATTTGCAATGACCTACAATACGCAGAAGCCAACCAACCCGGGCTCCCAGGCGGTCCGCCAGCTAGCTGTGGATTTGTGGAACTGCCGCACATACATGCAGCAAACATGCTAAAATCATAACTAATCCACCGAGCGGAAGGACAACCACTAGCGCCCAAGGCAGAGGGCGACACACGGTGCCACCAAGTCCCAGAAACCCACCAAGCCCCACGTTGCCAATTCCTTGGTTGCCCCACCGTGGTTTGCTGCAAATGGGCCAGTCCCTTCCTACCTTGATTGAATCCGAGGCAAGCGATATGCGTGGCGCCACGAACCCCCGCTTCCCACGTAGTGACCGAAAAACGGCCCCTGGCCTGGATCGTCGTCCACCATTCGGCCCGGGTGGCCCGGGCGGACTGCCGTCCGAGGACGAGCCACCGAGCACCGAGAAGAAAAAGAAGCACGCGGGGCCAGGGCTAAACAAGAAGCAAGCACGAACAGAGGCCCCCCACTGGTCTCTCCCTCGAGCAGTCAGTCAGTGTGGGCACACGCTGACACTGCCCACACTGACTTTGGGCGCCCTTTCGAAAAGGGAAGAAAGGCTTCGCTCCCTGTTGCTTAGTTTGTGTAATTAGGCAGGGGGGGCAGCTTCGTTTACTCTTTTGGCCAGCTATCGGCCGAGTGCCTCTAAAACCAACCGCAAAAAAAGAACGAAGCAACAACCCTAAAAACAGAAAGGACTCTGCGGCACGCTGATACAGGGAAATCGAACGCCGTGCGATGCCACGTATTCCACCCCCTATTTACTAACGAGTGCAACACTTCTAGATGGCCCCACTCCCATGGCACAAGCTAGAGTAGATGACCAAACTCCCATGGCGCGGGGTCCGTATGATTACTCCCATGGAAAATTTCCATCCTCCTACAGGAAGCCTTTTCAAAGAAAAACCTCTCTGCTCTATAAAGCAAGGTGGTGATCATGATAGTGCCGCGATATTCTTAAAAAATGCCTAGACGCCTGCACTTACTAGTAGCTACCCCAATAGTGGGCGGCTGGACTGGAGTTACTTCGACAAAACCAAAACTCACGCAGCGAAAGGTCCAAGATTTATCATACTGCAGCAAAGCTTAAAAGGCGCTTGCTTACAGGCAAGCACCTTACAAGCAAAGAGTGAGCGACTGAGGATACCTGCCTGGGGTCAACTAGCAAGGATTTTGTGTGAATGGCCTGACACCGGCGAGGCCGGTAAGCTGCAAAGAAACATGACACGAACATAAAAACTCGGCAAAACTATGTATAGATGGGCTAAATCTATACCATGTTCCCCGCAATTTGACCCCAAACAGCATCGGCAATCGCCTTCGGATCCTCTTTGCCAGAAGCGCACAAATCCTCATCCTGTTCCTGCCAAGTTTTTGCGTTGTTGTATATGTCCTCAAGCAGGGCCCCCCCTGGCTTGCTGGAACCCCCAGAGCAAAGCACCGGCACGACTAATGCTCCTTTTTTATGCGCGGGAATGACTTCTTTCGGAGCTGCGTTGCCGCCTTTGAAGACCACATAGGCATCCGCGACCAGCGCGGTAAGCAATTCCTTGTCAGCATGCTTAGCTTCCCCTATGAAAGAAAAATCATCACTCATAACCATACCCGAAGCCGCACGCTTGCGCCTTTCAGAAACTAAGACCGGAAACTGAAAACGAGGAGCAGCTTTGTCCAGTAAAAGAAGTTTGCAGCTTCAGTCTCAGCTGTGACACCTTCCATAGCACAACGCCTTCGAGTATGGTATGAATGAGGAACGTCTGGCCATAAGCACTAAGAGCTTCTTCATATAGGTACTCTCGGGCTCTTCCTCAGCGGAGGGAAATGCGGCAGGCTGGTTCTCGAATGGTGTGGAACCAATAAAGCCTATAGCGCCACCACCATCTTTGCCGGCAAAGTTGTACGTCGTCTGCTTCCGCCCGCTCATACCCTTAGCAAACACATGCTGCCAATGACTTACGCCTCCAGTGACAAACCTGTAATTTCCCGTATCTGCCATCTCTGCTGCCTTCTCAATCAAGGCGTTCATGATTTTAGCATTAGATTTCGCGGCTTCGTTCTGCTCCTGCGGTTCCTCCAGCTCCTCCTTGCTTTTCATGCCAGCCACAAGAAAGACGATCTTTGTTTTGGCGGGATCCTCCGAGCCTTCCAAAATAATCTTCCGTATCTCTTTGGCCTGAACCTGATCCGGAAAAGCAGTCAAAAAATTTTCAAACTTGACTACCACCGCCTCCTCATCGGGAAGGTCATATAATCAATTCACACGGGAGACGGAAAGCTGAGGCTAGGCTCGGTCCGGGATCCTTCACACCGAGCTCTCCCGGCCTCCTAGCTCATCCTAGTAGCCCCGGGATCCAAAAAAAAACCCAGGCGCACTTAGCTCTTGGGATACAAAAAAAAACAAAAGATCTGCTGAGAGTCGAGTGCAACCGAAATGCATAAATGCCACGCACCTACCTGGATGACTTTTAAGCATTTTGGTGGCCCGCCAGTCACCTTTTGGAAACTGATTGGGGCTGGAGTGTTCTCCAATTCTGTTATGTGTGAGGCGAGAGACGCGGACTTGTTTAATTACGGATAAAAAGAAGAAGGATGGAAGAATAGGAAAGGAAGGCCGCAGACCTTATTGATTCGCAAAGTAATTTAAAAGGGGGAGAGCGTCCCATCGCTCTCCTTCGCCGATCCTTTTATCTCCCGCCCGCTCTTGACAGAGCTGTGGCTCTCAAGCATAGGGTAGCCCCTTTGGTTGGAGTAAGCCCTCCGGTTTCTGTTTTTCTTTTTGGTTATTTTATGGCGATTGCGGAAGCGGGACGCGGTTGAGGATGGTGCACGGGGCGAAGGAGGGAGCGCGAAGCAGTGAAGATAAGAAAATCTAGGTTAGTGTTCCCTCAACAATGAAAAACGTGCTGTACTTGTACTTAAGGCCTTACGCCAGTAGGCATTTATTTTTATGTATTCACTGACTTGGCAGTTGATTGCGCAGCCATTAGTCAAGAGTTAGCAGGGTTGGCATCCCCTGCGCCCGTGCCTTGACGGTAGGCATATAAGGGCGGGACGGTTGGCAGCCGGTGGAGGTTTATAATATAAGACGCTTAATCCGCCTTCTTTACCCCTAAAGTTCATCATTTTAGAATCGGCGGGTTCGTAGGCAATTAGTGCACAGTATTATATATAAGGAGGTAACCGGACTCCACCCGCCGCCGGTTTGCGAACCGGATAAAGCTGGGGCCGCTCCTTCAGTAGCCCCGGGATCCAAAAAAAAAAAAAATCTTCGAGGATCATGGGCACCCTGAATAAGAGTCAGCAGAAAGTAGGTCACGCACGGTATTATCTCCCTGGCCTGGGCAGCAACTGAAAGCCAAAAAATCCGTCAGACAAATTAACACACGAGGGGGGGGGCGCGCTGACCCCTCGATGGCACTGCCTTGACACTCGCCAGCAATCGACTAAAGAGCAAGCGCGCAAGCCAATGGATGAGGATGACACGAAGCGCGCGCCCCCATTTAGCCGTCTGAATGCTTACCAGCTGCGCGCCCAGCCTGCCCACGATGACGCGCAACCCACTCCCCACGCACTTCAAGCACCCCTGGCCGAGGAGGCGCCGGAGAGTCCCAAGCCCTCCCCCGCGGTCTAAAAGGTTCGGCGAACTACTTCCTTGCGCCACTCTGGCTCGCAACTGGGCCAGCCCTTTTCTTACTTGATGGAATTCGAAGCAAGCCCTCAGCCCGATACCACGACCCCCTCTGGACCCCAACGTCTTACGAAATGACCAGAAAACAACCCCTGAGCCCGCCAAGATTGATGCACGCTGGGCCGCGGCTAAACAAGAAGCCACAAGCACAAGCTCCCCAATGCTCCCCCGAGCAGTCAGCGTGTGCACACGCCAAGGAACTTGGTGCACCCTTCCGAGTGGAGAAAAAAGATTCCACCTCCCGTTCTTGTGTAAGGAAGCAAGGGGGCAGCTGCAATTGAGTACCCTTTTGGGTGGCAAATTGGCCGAGTGCCTTGACAGAACGCCGTCTGGAGGGGTCGCCGCAGTGTGGCCAAATGTGCCCGCCGATCCCGCAGAGTACTCACACTTGAAGGGCCGCGGGGTCATGACGTCATTGATTAGAGCGGGAGCCCTGGCACGGGTTAGCGCCAAAGCTAAGGCACCCGCCGAAACCACCACGGCGGGCACCCTCCACAGCGATCCGCACTCTTTGATGTGCCTCCATGTCACACGCCTAGTTGCTCCTCCCCCTAACAAACGTCTATCGACTTGAGGCCACCACACTCCGAGAGCGGCGTCGCCGTGATCCGAAGCGCGCACTTGTTGCTCAGATAATGATAGGAACAGACCCTCGACGGAAAAGCCCCCGGACAACAAAACGAAAAAAGGAAAAAGCCCTCCTACTAAAACCAGCCGGCCGCCATGTACAGTCCCCAACATACATTGGAGAGGCAGCCAAAAATTCTGAAAAAACGGCCACGAACACGCTGAGAGGGTGAACGGCTCACGACACAACAAGGGTACTATCTACAGGGACCAGTGGGGAGCCACACCCAGCACTACGCGGAACGATGGTGCTGCGACCTCGAAAACACTACCGCAAAAACGCTCGAGTAAGGTGGCGTCCTCGGCGTTGCTTATACCTCCAAGGCTCCAACCAGTTAAAGAACCAAAGGCGGGCCGACTCTCAGTAGCTGCGCGCGTCAAGGTGTATGGGCTCAAAGACTCACTTGCAGTGGAAGAATTCTTAGAATGGATTCTCCGTGGGCTTGTTTGAATCAATGGATTCAAAGCACTGCGCCCCTTGCACGGATGCGAAGGACCCTATTCTTGACTTGAAAATTCTGAAAAAGCTGGAATCATAGAAACGCTGAAGGCCCAAGCCATTGGAAATGCGCTAGAAGTGCGGACAGCATACTCCAACAAGATCAGGGCCAACGCATCACGGCGTGTCGCGTCTAGCTATGGACGCGGCAACGAAGCATAGATGCATGCTTTTTCTGATGTGTAGTGGCAGGGGCAATAGTCGAAGGCCCGGTCCTGAATTACGGAAGCACGCAGGGGGGCAGCTGGAAGGAACTTACGACCCGGAAAGCCCTTACGCACACGAAATGGAAAAAATGATCCCAGTACCAGCTCGGCACTGTGATCAAAGCAATCTTCTCGAAATTGCTGCACATAAAAAGATCTGTCAGACCATTGAGGCCCCCCCTTCACCGTATTGGCCTCCAAGGAAAAAAGGGGGGGCCTAGGTGATCAGGGTAAGGATGCAAAAAACTTCATCCACTAATTTCAATACTGGACGCGAAGATGCACGGCGCGTGATTGAACATGCTGATATATATCATAACGATAAGCACTACACAATCACAATCTCAGATAGCTACAACAAGGTAGAAACCTGAAGCACGACGACCGCCTGTGAACTATCACGTTCAGCTGAGAGGCAAAAGACTCGGCAAAACTATCGACGGAAAAAGTCTATACCCTCCTCTCTTCGATTTGACCCCAAACAGCATCGGCGATCGCCTTCGGCTCCGCTTTGTCGGGGACGCACAAATCGTATTTCTGCCACTCTTTTGCGTTGCTGTATGTGTCCGCAGGGAGGGTGGGGGCCTGTGAATCTGGGCTGCTCTTATTTCCAGAAAAAAGCACCGGCACGACCAATGCTCCTCTTTCATGCGCAGGAGTAACTTCTGCTGGAGCTGCGCCGCCGCCTTTGAAGACGATATATACATCCGCGACCAGTGCGGTAAGCAATTTCTTGCCACGCTCCTCACTTGTTTCCCCTATGAAAAAAAAATCACTACTCATAGCAATACCCGAAGTCTCACGCTTGCGCCATTCAGAAACGAACTAAGAGTAAGTCGGTCTTAAAGACCGGAAACTGAAAACGAGGAGCAGCTTTGTCCAGTAAAAGAAGTTTGCAGCTTCAGTCTCAGCTGTGACACCTTCCATAGCACAACGCCTTCGAGTATGGTATGAATGAGGAACGTCTGGCCATAAGCACTAAGAGCTTCTTCATATAGGTACTCTCGGGCTCTTCCTCAGCGGAGGGAAATGCGGCAGGCTGGTTCTCGAATGGTGTGGAACCAATGAAGCCTATAGCGCCACCACCATCTTTGCCGGCAAAGTTGTACGTTGCGGCCCCCGCCTTGCTCATACCTGCAGCAAAATGGCGCTGCCAATGACTGGCGCCTCCAGTGACAAACATGTAGTTCCCCGTCTGAGCCATCGCTGCTGACTTCTCAATCAAGGCGTCCATGATTTTAGCGTTAGATTTCGCGGCTTCGTTCTGCTCCTCCGGTTTCTTCAGCTCCTCTTCGCTTTTCATGCCAGCCACAAGAAAAACGACCGTTGCCTTGGCGGAACTCTTCGAGTCCGCCAAAATCTCCGACTTCACCTTGCTAGCCTCGTCTGCCTTTTGTTCCTGGAAGGGTGGTGGTTTAAGGCCGTCAGCTACCGTTCGAACTACTGCCACCGCCTAGCTATGGGGAAGATGATATAATCAAACAAGAGACCGAAGTGAAAGGTTAAAGTAAGTTAGTTTTGGGGCCCCTCGCAACGAGCTCCCCCGGCCTCCTAGCTCAGCTCCGAGGATGAGGAGCTCCTTTAATTAATAAAGTCAGCAGACACAGAAAACTAACAAAGAAGTCATACACGAAATGACCCCTCTGGACTGGGCAGCCAGTAAAAAGACATCCGCCAAACCAAAGAACGAGGGGGAGCGCGCTGGGCTCTCGATGGCACTGCCTTGACACTCACCAGCAAACGAGCAAAGAGCAGGCGCACGGGCTCACGGATGACACGTGGAAGCACCCACTCAGCGAGCAACGCGCGCCGCCACTTCGCTTCTATACCAGCTGCGCGCCCACCCTGCCCACGATGACGCGCAACGCACTCCCAACGCACGTCGAGCAAGCCACGCCTGGCCGAGGAGGCGCTGGAGAGTCGTCCCAAGGCCTACCCCGCTGTCTAAAGAGTTCAACTACTTACTCCACCCTGGTTCGCAAATGGGCCAGCCCTTTTCTACCTCAATCGGATTCGGAGCAAGCTCATGCCCGACACCACGGGCCCCCAGGTACCCTCCTCACGAATTGTGACCGAAAAACGGCCCCTGGCGTTGGTCGTCGTCCATCATTCAGCCGGGCGGGCTGCCGTCCGAGGATGAGCCACGGAGCCCCGCAAAGATGCACGCACGCTGGGTCAGGGCTAAACAAGAAGCGACCACGAGCACAGGCTCCAACATAGTCTCTCGAGCAGTTAGTTTGGGCACACGCTGACAGACTTGGGCCACCCTTTCGAGAAGGGGAAAAAGATTCCGCCTCCTGTTTATTTTTGTGTGAGGAAGCAAGGCGGGCAGCTTCGGTTACTCTTTCAGCCAGCGATCGACTGAGTGCCTTAGCGGTACAAGGGAACGCCGCCTGGAATGGGGTCGCAGCAAAGCGGGAAAATGCGCCCGCCAATCCCTCAGAGTATTTCCACCTGAAGAGAAACGGGGCAGTGCTGGTGGCGTCATTAGAGCGGGAGCCCTGGCACGGGTTAGGGCTAGCGCCAGAGCTAAGCAAGGCACCCGCCAAGACCACCACGGCGGGCACCCTCTACAGCGATCCGCACTCTTGAATTTGCCTCCACGTCACGCGCCTAGTTGCCCCTCCCCCTAGCAAACATCCATCGGCTTGAGGCCACCTCACTCCGAGAGCGGCGCCGCCGTGATCCGAGGCGCGCACTTGCTAGGAAATTGAAAGAGCAATACCCCCCACGGATAAACCTCTGCACAACAAAACGGAAAGAGAAAAAGGCCCCCCTACTAAAACAGGTGGGCCGCCTTGTTGGAGAGCAGAGGTAACCAAAAGTTCTGAGGTAACGGCAGTGAGCAGGCTGCCCGCGAGAAGTGTACTATCTAAAGAGCGCAGTGGGAAACTAAGCAGAACCATGACGCCGCGACCTCGAAAACTCTACCTCAAAAGCGCTCAGCCAACTGAGCTAAGGCATCTACGTTACTTATCAACCCTGTAAAGCATTGAAGGCGTAATGCCCTGATCTATTAGTGGCTAGTGAAGATATGCACGCCAAGGTGTATGGGCTCAGGGAATTGCGAATCGCTCTGTCTCTGGAAGAATTATTTGAAAGGGCTCCCTGTGGCTGTGGCATTCTTTGAATGGGTTCAAAGCATTGCACTGTTCACATGGGTTCGAAGAGATATAGGCTTGACTTGAGAAATCCGAAAAAAATGATAACAGTGCAAACGCCAAGGCCCCAAGCCGATCAAAATGGGTAAAAACGCTAAAAGTCTGAGACCCGATCGTTGGAACTAGAACAAAATCGGACGAATTTATAACACGGCACGCAGCATGAACATCTATCTAAAAATGGACGTGGTGACAAAGATGATGATGATAGACGCACGCCCCCCCCCTGATGTGCAGTCTAGTAGTAGTTGTAGAAGTCGTCAGGAGGTAAGTCTCCCGGCACAGAAGCAAGGGAGCAACCAGAAGAGCCTACGTCACTTAGAAGTGTAACCGGAAGAGCCTACGTCACTTAGCGGTGCGCCCTCACCATCCCAACCAAACTAAACTCTCAGCCAGTCAGCATACCACGCTCATCGCCATCACCATCATAGATAGATGAGAAGAAAGCGATTTTTAATGGTCGCACTTTTCTGATCAAAAGCAACGAAAACCCTACAGAACTAGGGCAAAATGGTCAAAGTTAGCAAGGTCATGCGCCTTTACGGCGTGAAAACGCTGAAAGGGCATACTCCTTCAAAAATCATCGACATCAATTGCGGGGCGCCGGTGGTTTACAGTTTGCCTACGTCGTTGCCCACATGCTTGCAAGCCCCTCAAGATAATCGAACCCAAGTTGGAGCTCTACTACCGTGAGTGATTTGCGACGAACTTCGGAGGCAAATCGTAGGCCGCTAGTGCGTCCTCACTAGTGGCCTACGATTTTCCTACAGAGTGTGTGAGTGAGTGAACTACAGACCACGGGCGACGCGACTCCACGAACCGGAACCCAAGCCCGCGCAAAATAATTGACCCAAGCCCACTCAAGATGATAGCTGTAGCAAGCCATTCGCCCCGTGAAAGAAAAACGCATGATGAACAACAACCAGAACGACTACTACTATAGGTACAATACTTGTCGGCTGGACTAGATTGAAGGTAAAGTAAAGAACTACCCCTGCTGCTGAGTCTAGTGTCGACGATTGCCTACTATGCAGAAGCAAGATACATAGTAGCCTGGTCTCTAATTCTAAGCTAACCCCACTATCCACTTAGCCAAGTAAGCTAAATCGGGTAAAAATGGCACAAACAACAATTATCATTTACCAGCAAGAAGATAAGTTTCTTACAGGTGGAGGCGCCGACTTTTTTTCAGGTTCAGCTGGGCCACTGCCCTGTCCCGCTTTAGCAGCATCGCCAGCACCAGCACGAGTCCCCCCGTCCGCCTCAGGCTCGGTCGTTTTCGCAGGAGCCGTCGTGTCCGTCGACGTCGTCTCGGTTTTCTTACCACATGCACACGAACCTTGCAAAAAGCTGCATCCGGCTTCGCATGGGGTGATAGAGGGACCTTCAGGACCAGAACTGGCCTCGAAAGACTCCAACGGCCCGCCACCCGTTGGATATTAGAGTGTGCTAGACTTCATCCCGGTCGCCCGGGTCCCATCTATATGTCTTTGCAATACCAACAACAACCAAGACAACACAGCGCGAAGCCGACGGTCCTGTTTCTGATGTTGTGCCATTATAATTATGGTTTTGTAGGTTGTTTTACTTCACATGCCCTGCATCGAGATAAACTAGTCAGTCGCGCACACCTTTGAAGGGAAGAGGTGGAACGAAGGGTGTAAAGATGCCATTTTGGCGAGATGAGTAAAAGCCAACCATAAAAATAGTCGTTTTGCGTCTCGAAAGAGATACCCAGTCCGATGCGCCAATCGTTAGAGATAGTCGAATAGCTTTTTGACGTTATCTTGAATGAAAAGCTTTATGCATAGTTGTATATCATTAGCTAGACATGGACTGAATCATGGATACCTACGCTAGCTCCAGATAGACGACACGTAGAGTAGATAGTTAGCTCCTCCAGATGACTAAGTAAAGCTAGCTGTTCAATATCGCTCAAAATCTTTCAACTTACGAGAGAAAAGCAGTGCTCTGGAATTAGTCTGCTTTCTAGCTCGCTACATGAAAACTACTTGCCCAGACTGAACGGGAATTGCACTTTGATAAGTCAGTGAACCATCAGGCAGGCGCCTACAATCCCACCTAGCCAACTTCGCAGCTGGCTAGGCTCCGTGGTTTCGGTGTCGGCCTGTTCTCAAGGTTGTGCAACTCAAAGAGGACCCACCTCGACCGGCCCTGTTCAAATATTCTTACTTGTGATCCCCAAAACGGTCTATTATCCCGAGTTAGTGGGGTCGCCTGAGGTGAGTCCTGGTGGTTCAACCTCTTCACGCATGGTCCATGGAGGGCGTTTCATGGGAGACTTTCGATGAAGGGCACGGCGATGCACATGAAGGGCACGATCTGATGAAAGAGCCTAAGTACGTAGGATGAAGTAGGGCACGCAGGATCGATACCCACCAAAAAAAAGCAAGCGGGGTGGAAGATCCACCTAAAAGTATCCACCTACTTGAAAAAGACAAGCGGAGTGGACCCAGCTACAAAAAAATGTCCGCCGAAAAGTATCCACCGAAAAACGCCATCCATCTAAAACATCCGCCGAAAAATATTCCTAAGTATAACCCTTTAGAGGTAGGCCTAGTTTAGGTGCTGGCCCGCCATCCACGCTGTAGTGACTTGTATGTACCTTCCAAGGTATCCATCTAAAAAGATCCATCTATAAAACAAAACATCCACCTAAAAGTATCTATCCACCTGGAAATATCCATCTAGAACAAGGCATCCACCTAGAAGAAAGTATCCACCTGAAAGCATCCACCTAACGCTAAAAGTATCCACCTGAAAACACGCTTTAAGAAAGGCAGGCGGAGTGGATGCGCCAAAAAGTATCCACCTAAGAAAGACAGGCTGCGTGGATGCCCCTAAAAGTATCCACCTAAGAAAGACAGGCTGCGTGGATGCGCCTGGCCCTAAAAGTATCCACCTAAGGAAGCCAGGCGGAGTGGATGCACCTAAAAATGACACATGGGGGACCGCTTGGAAGGATCCACCGAAAATAGAACATCCACCAAAGGAAGGTAAGCGGAGTGGACACACCAAAAAAAAACTGGCACCAAGCTAGAAGTATGCGCGTAGAAAAGAAAGGCGGAGTGGATGCACCTACAGAAGACACCGGGCGGGGAATGGATCCACCTAAAACAGACACCAGGCGGGGCGGATGCATCTAAGAAAGACGCCAAGCGACCACACCCATCCGCCTAAAAAATGCACCCGGCGGAGTGGGTCTACCTAAATAAGACACGCGATGTGGATGCACCTACAAGAGACACAGGGCGAAGTGGATCGACTTGAATACGACACTGGGCGAAGTGGGTCCGTCAAAAAAAGACACCAGGCGCATTGGATCCAGCTGAAAAAAGAAAAAGAAGAGGAAGAAAATCTCTCATCTGTGTCAAAAGATTGCTATCAAAAGGCTCACAAAATCTCTCAGAAGATAGGTCTTGCCAAAGAATTGGCTTGAATATCTCTTAGAAGATGGCTTTGCTTCTTGGTTTTCAATAAGTTGCTTCGGCAGTTATTAATACTGTAAACTATCTGGGAAAAAACGGTAGGAGTGAATCCACGTAAAAAAAACACGCGGACTATCTGAATTTACTAAAAAAACAGGCTGCAGCTTGTAGGCGAGTTACTCAACCCACGCTGCTAGCCTTCCCTGTGAACTACGATTTCATCCGTGACCCTGCACTAGCTAATACCATTACCAGGAGAGAAGATCCTGAAAAATAAAAGGATCTAATATTGTCGGAGGGTGAACTAACTAACGACCTATTTACTACCTGCTATTTTTAATACCGGGAAAGTAGAAGATAACAAGATGACTACTAGAATGTTGTTAAAGTGATCTGTTCTGGTAGAAGCAGTAGCAGGGTGAGGATTTCTGAGGAAAAACAGCCCAACACTTTGGATGACCAAGGAGATGGGCACTCTTCTTCCTTGTGATAATCTATGGCCAAATCTCATCGTCCGACGAACTATCCAAGAAGTAAAAAGAGCTAAGTGCATGAGCTTGCTCGTACTAGAAAAACTACGAAGCTGCATTCGAAGTAGTGGGTCCTTCGGGTGAAAGAAAATAAGCGCACACCTACAAATAGCCATCTTGGTGACCTGACTCCAACAAGGAATCGGATGGACCTTAGAATGACCCAAAAAAACAAATAAGAGCGAAAAGATGATATCTATCCCTACTATTTTCTAATTAATTACGCCTGACGCCGTGAATCTATTCGGCAGTCTGCCTAGTAAGATTTCCCTGCCGACTTCTTATAGATATAGACACTAGTTAGGGAAACAAGGAAGCAAGGAGTATTCGTAGTTAAACTTACCAACTCCACGTATTTTGTATTCAATAAATGAAAAGGACTCCAGCCATAACATAGCACAAGAGCGTCCCGCCGAAGAAGAAGCCCGCGACCAAATAGAGGAACAGCAGGTGCTGTCCTCCGGGAACGGAAAGCTTTACCGCCATTTTGTTTGATCTTGATCCTCTCCCGAAGCTTCACTTCCTTCTACTTAGGATAGGATAAATCTTCTTCGTTCTACTTACGATAGGATAAATCTTCTTCCTTCTACTTACTTAGGATAAGATAAAAAATCTTCTTCCTTCTACATACTTAGGATAGGATAGGAAACAAGGTGGAGGTCGTTATTTCGTTGTAGGATAGAATGGAATCGAGATTGTACTTATTTCTATTTGGTTCTTTACTTTTGCACCAGTCGAAAACTGTAATCAAATTTGATTACTTGTCTGTGAGTGTGAGGACGAGGGAATAATAACTTCTTAACATTATGTGATGTCGTGCAGAACAGTACTTCTTTAAGAATTGCGTTTGATTTCTTTGTGCAGTGCTCTATTTCTTTGGAAATTATGTTGATGATTCGTTCCGAGAGATATCCACCTTGAACTTCTGATTGTAATCTTTCGTCTCAGGAATTACGGGAAATGTGGTCTTTTGTCTAATTAACTACGTGCTACTTTTAGTTGTATGGTCTTGCATTGTTGTGTTTCGCCTTACGTATGTTGTTGCTATTGTTGTGTTCGAAATCTTACGTAGGTTGTTGCTGTTGTTGTTTTTTGTCTTACGACGCTGTCGCTTTTAGTCTTACGCGGCAGTTGTTGCTTTTAGTCTTACTTTGATTTCTTACCAAGTCACGAGAACTTGAAATTTAAGAAACTTTTGTAAATGACTACGAGATTCATTGGAACCAGATGCACATATGAAGGATGGAGTCAGAGAGTTGTGAGTGGATAGTGTCAATGGATGGAGAGAAAGTTGAGTTCAAAAATAAAGATGGATCATTTTTTCCACAATGAACTTGCAAACGATGATAGCATGTTGAGAAATTCTAAAGACTCTTCGTTGTAGACGAGGGAGTGTTATACTTATATATAAGATGAGAGATCTTGATCTTCTACGACGATGTCTCTACGATCTTTCTCCGATGATGTCTCTACGATCTTTCTACGATGCTCACGACTCGTCGACTCACACGAAGGAACGATCAGGTTGTGGACGCCCTCTACTCGCCTCAATTTCCCACTTTCTTCTGTCTCACAACAGTTGTTCACTGAGTTGTTCGTTGTTCACACACACAGGACAGACGACAAGTTGATTGCCTTCAACATGAAACGAATCTTGTGAATCTCTCGTCCCTCGTTTCGCTCGTCCATTTTTGAACAATCAACCACTACCAACAACATGTCACACGAAGACTGAACAATTGCTACAGTGAAACGCTACTCCTCCTCGTCCTCTCTCGTGGTCATCTGAGTGCTTCGAAGTATAATCTGAATCTGTAGTATCACGACAAGCAACGAGTCTCTCTCCTTCGTCTGAGGTTGGAATATAATAAGAATCATCAGTCAGAATCTACAGCTAGTATTATGGAAGAGCGGAGCGGCTTTCATGAGCGCGTCTCTACTACGATCAGTTGATGTGCTCCTGTGCTATCATCCATGAAGTACTTAGTCAAGAAGTTGAAGCCAAAATATTTCTGGATGTTTTAGCAAATAGAAATGGTGAAACCAAAGATGTTGATGTTGTGGCAAATGGAATTTGAATTAAGACCTCTTAAGGTTTGAACAACAACAAGCGAGAGACTAGTCGTGCGAGATACGCTATGGAAAAGGGGGATAGAAGCAGAGAGGAAATGCAAGCTCGAGAAAAACTGAAACTTAAGTATCTCATTTGTTTCTATGTCAAGTTGGCAACATTTTGGCATGGCATCAGTGATTGTGGACTGTGGACCACTCCGCATCACATCACAACTATACGATTTGCTAGTACTTTCTTCTTCTAGCATCCATTGATTTAGTACTTTCTTCTTCTAGCATCCAGTATATCAAAAGTTTGAAGCAAGTAGATCTAGATGTAGATCCCCCTCATAGCTACTAAGTCAGCAAAACCGCGAAAAAAGCTCAGGATCTTCCTTTAGGAGCGATGCCACAGTCTCCTCTGCCGTTCGCTTGGCTCGGTCGTAGCACTGCTGGTGTGTGAAAGCAGGCTCCTCGTCTTTACTTAGAAACAATCTACAATCTTCAAGGTGATTCCTGAACGGTAGAAGAAGGCCAAGAACGCTCAGAATAAAGCAAGACAGCGGTCAGAATAAAGCAAGACAACGGTCAGAATAAAGCAAGACAACGGTCAGAATAGAACTTCCCCCCCTTGCTGTAAGCAATGATAGTTGCTGGAGCTGCAGTGTTGTAAACAATTTATTATAGTTCAGAAAATTTTTCTACAGAAGGAGACTGGAACTTGATGATTCGAGTTTTTTCGCGAACATTGAAGCGTGATTTCCTTAACTCTTCTTCCAGGATGGCTTTCAAACCTGTACCCTCCCCAACGGAACGGCCAACAGCGCGTCCAAATCTTAGAGGTTGGAATTTACTCTTCAGAAACATTCGTCCGGATTTTGCAACATTCTTCAGAAACATTCGTCCGGATTTTGCAACATTCTTCAGAAACATTCGCCCTGATGGATTGAGTGATTGCTTGATTGATGTGCCTGACAAGAGGTTCGACTTCGATCTGTGGTTGCATGATCTACTGCTACGTCTACTCTTCAGAAACATGCGTCCTAGCCTACGTGAAAACAAGAGGCCAAGAATGCTGACCAAATTAATACATGTCGTGGTGACCCTTAAAAAACTAGGTGTTGGAACAAGCGGGGACTGCTCTGAAGCCGGCAGCTGCTCGGCTGATGCTGCTGGAACAAAATCCCCTGATATGAGCTGCGCGTTCCCCTCGTGATCCTGCTCATGATCTCCTGCCGGGATCTTGTTAGAAAAAGCCACTATCTGCTGAAAAAAGCTAGTAGGGATCCAGTACGCCAAGCAAGTAGTCCTGCTACAATACTGCATCTTTCGTCTGATCTTTAGACGAAGATCTCCTTCAGTATGTAATACTATGCTCGACTACTTGACGTAACAGTTTCTTGTCGAACAAGGTCAGTAAATGTAAAAATTATAAGCACTATTTACTACGGCTACAGCAAGTTAGTTTGGCCATCAAAATTTTTTCCGTAAGAGAAGTGAATTCGTTGAGGCTCTTCACCCTTTGTGCTAGTATGTCGATCCGCTGAGTTCGGCGCGTAAACATCGTGTGCAACGCGCGCAAAACGTGACTTAGAGCGTGCTTGAGTTCACATCTACTAGAGCGAAGTCACATCTAGAGCTAAGCGGAAGTCACATCATCTAGAGAGAAGTCACATCATCTAGAAAGGAGTCACATCTAGAGAGAAGTCACATCTTTAATGTGTTTTGTTTTCCCCTAATGTGCAGATGAAGGAGAGCCTCCGTGGTATGATCCCCTTAAAGCAAGATGTACAACAAGGATAAAAAGGACACAAGCAAGGATAAGGAAGGACAAGGATACAAGCAAGGATACGAGCACGGACCCGCCTCATCCCCACCTTACAGTAAGGCTAAGGATCAATGGTGATCCTCTTTCGCAGTCCCGATGGGATGCCTTAAGGCAACAACCACTTATATATAAGGTTAATAAGCAGGGTGATGAATTGTTTAGATTGTAGGCGCTTTCATTCTAAACTAAGCTAAACATAACGCCGTAAGTAGCTCTGACAACTGAGGAGTTGCCGACTGTGCTCACTTGACGTGAGAGTCTCTATCCCCTGAACAAACTCTGCCTCGCTGATGGTGCCTGAGCCATCTCGGTCGAGGATCGTAAACAACCACTCCAACTCTACATTAGAAAGAAAATATCTATGCAAGCTAGGATCGTAAACAACCACGCCAAGAACTCTCCTAGAACCGCCACTAGAACCTCCTACTCTCCACTAGAACCTCCTGTCTGGATCAAGGCCCCTCGATGGTCTTCTGTCATGATCACAGACGAGGACGTATGTCACGTGGAAAAAAGTTGAAGAAGAAAGTGAAAATTCAAATTGCAGCGAAAGCTCTCATGCTTGGACAGAGATCGCACAGCCATAGCAGAAGGGTCTATATGTAGCTGCGCGAGACGTTCGTGGGCTGTCATTCGATGCCGCCCGTCGCTGGCCGGCGAGTCGTCGTCTTAGAGGTTCCGAAACAATTGCACTCTTCCCGCAGAACGTCCCATGTGACTTCTTTCTTAATATTGCGAAAAGAGTCAGAGATCTTACTACTTACTAGTAATAAGACCGTAGGAGTACTTGTCCTACCACTACGACGAGACTTTATGAAGTGCAAGATAAACAAGATTTACTACTGTGCTACTAGTGTTTAAAGTGAAGGGAGGGATGCAATGCACTTATATGTGGAAACCCCTAATCATCCCTAGTTTCCTCTTCTTCTTGACGACTGTTGTCCTCCTTCATCACTGTAGTTGACTCCTCCATCACTGACGTCGCGGCGAAAGCGATTGTTAGAGCTTCTTGCTGCTCATTCACATGAAGATATTGTTAGAGCTTCTTGCTGCTAGAGATATTTCACATGAAGATATTGCACATGAAGATATCTGTCCAACTACAGATCATAGTGCAAGATTTACTAAGTACATTATAATAGAGAAGCAAGATATAATCGGACGGACAGGTAAGTCGAAGACAGTAAAGACACAGCATTATTCATCGTCGATGTTGATAGCGGAAACCGGGTACTGGAGAAATGGAATTCAAAAAAGAAATCAATACATAGCAAAAAGCTAGAGCAGTGGAATGACGAGGACTGCCACAAGATCTCACATCTAGCAATACATTCATACTTACTACGACTTACTCACCTCTATCATTCACGATTTCCGTGAGAAAATTCGAAACTCTGTCTCTTGCCTTAAGACAGGAAGGCTGTGACTGTCCGCCATTATCTTACTGTCTGGAGAAAAAGCGCAGCTGTCTAAGATTGTAGAACAGCTGTTTTCGTCACCCACTTGATCAACAGTACTATCACTCCCTGAGCGCGCAACCTTCGGAGCAAAGTTGCTTCGCATCCTTTTCGCAGAGGAACCAACCTCCTGCTCAGGAGCTGACGCACATTTATTCGCATTGTACTCCTCCTTACACGAAGCAGTAGATTCCGACGTCTCAGTTGATGTAGTACAATTCCTCGCGTCGTTACACGTGTTGTTCCTAGTCCCATGGTGGACTTCCCTCTCCTGAAGACGCCCCTCACCGTCCACGCCACTCGTTGTGCGAAGGACGCCAATTGCTGTAGTCGCCGTTTCCACTACACTGGCAGACCCGGCCGTTGCAGACGCGGTCGTTGCAGACGAACTCAACCCGGTGCTAATGGTATTTGCAACTGCAGGCGATGAAACATCAACTACTGCGCCTCGTCCTATTTCACCAACTACAGTACAAGAAGTACTAGTTGTCATACAGTTTTTATCGCAAGGAAGTGGGCTTTTCTGTCCTATATCTCCTGCTGCGCCAGGTGGCGACCCTTCGAGGATCTTGTTTCCGATTACAAGAGCCCTAAACTCATCGAGGCTTACCTCGCCGCTTTCATCAGCGTCCAGCTCACGGAACAAGGCTACGAGACTCCTCTTAATCTCGAGCTAGATTTAGACGTAGGAAAGAATGGGTAAACATCTAGAGGTAGAATTATACCTGAAGCACAAGAATATGACATCTTCATCTTGTTCATTGTTGACTTTTCATAATTTTCACGTGCAATGTCCCTGAGAAGCTTCAGCTTGCTCCCGACCTTGATCTTGCGGATGTTTTGCAGCGTGATCGCCACGACCAACGAGCTAGTATGAAAAGAGTGAGTCGTCCACTATGATTATCAATATAGCCTTAGGGTTAACCTTGGACTACAGTCAAAAAACCTATGTTGTCACAGATGATACTTTGCCAGAAGGGATAAGCCTATAATGTCAGTGTCACAGATGATAATAGTATGATTAAGATCAAGATCATACTTTCCTAGTCATGATCGTCCCTACCCATAGGACATTTTGATTTGTAGTCAGAAGTCTGCGCAAATACTTGCAACGCAGGACGATGCACATATCTTCACATGATACGATACACATTCATATTTGTGGCGGAGCCGACCTAACTAGAAAAAAGACAGACCAGAGGAAGATAGAGAAGAGAAAATGGTAACTATCAACAAGTATCCTGCTGAAAGACGTGACAGATCGGGTTCGAGGCATACGTGGCCATAAAAGATGGTAAAATTCGTACAGCAGATGAAGAAAACGAAATACCAACTCATCTGTGGACTCACGGCGCGGCGAAAAGGCTCTGCAATTTCCGGCCAATTTTCCAGCGTAAACGCAACAAAGAGATGTAATATGAACGAAAAGATCATGCAATATGAAGATTTTGAACGAAATGTCGTAGTCAATCCCACAGAAGAGACCAAATGAAAATTGTTGTTACATTGTTGCACGGGATAAACTTAGTAGACTTTCAGAGGCGAAAACTAACCGGTTGTCAAATTATACTCATTAAACTTCATAGTTACATTATAGATAACGAGGAGAAGCAAGAGGAGCAATACGACGCATCATCGTAAAATATATGGCCTGGCGTACCGTGCCGAATTTTTCCCCGATATTTTCTGGCTCCCGAGCGACGAAGTCATCATCCTGGCCAATAAATCTCACCAGAATCAACGCGTTTACATAGATGAACGTTCCCAGCATCAGCACTATCCACACGATAGTGCGGAATGCGTTCACCAAACCTGTATAAAGAAGTGCTCTGTAGTACTCATCATCACTAAGAATCGCGGGAGGTGATCCTGTCACGATGAAGATCAAGGTTCAAGGTTGAAGGTCCACGGCTCTACGGCCATGCCGTGTTGTCCGGGACGAAACAGGCAGCTCGAGTAGATCACCCTCCACTTTATACTACAAAGAAGTACTCACCATCAACAGTCGCAACCGCGTGTAAAGAAGTACATCATGTGATGTCCTATAGTAGTAGTAGTAGTAGTAGTGTGCCCAATCGTGGGGTATGAGTGATTTTTAATTAATTGTTATTTGCACATCACCCGACATAAAGATGAAGCACATCACCCTATAAAGAAGTAAGTACTCATGATCACTAATCCCAGAGTACATCACCCTATAAAGAAGTAAGTACTCATGATCACTAATCGCAGAGTACATCACCCTAAAAAAAAGTAAGTACTCATGATCACTAGTCGCAGAGTACATCACCCTATAAAGAAGTAAGTACTCATGATCACTAATCCCAGAGTACATCACCCTATAAAGAAGTAAGTACTCATGATCACTAATCGCAAGTCTGGACTATAACGGAAGAGCTTTGTGCACCGAAGTATTCTTGCCACCGCAAAAACGCGCAACGCCGAGACGATATCGATGGTGTCAAGAGGCAGAACTCCGGTTACAGATGAAGGTAGATAGATAGATAGATAGGTAGACGACAACACTACTTAGTACTGAGTAATGATGTAAGGACTAGACTGCAATTGATTGAGTAGTAGACTGCTCCGGTTACTAGACATTGGACCTGTTAGAAATAGTAGTATTCAAAAAGCGGGCATAGGAAAGTACTACGGAAAAAGAGAATATTGAATACTCCAGTAGAAGATAGGGGGGGGGGGTACGTTCTTGTAGAATTCTATTGTAGAAGATGTAGATATTGCTATGTATTGTAACTAGTGAGTAGTAGGTTGTAGATCTTGATATGAACATGCGCATTTGCCGTAAATAGAGCAGTATGGAGAACGTTATTTCGATTCCAGTAACGAAGACCACAAAAAAATCGAGCATCAGCCACCCATAGCTGCGCTCTACCAGGTAAAACGTCAGGTACCCTTGCCAATAGCAAGATCGCTGGTAGAACGCACTACATCGTTGTGCCACCCAATTGCAGCATTTTCTATACCAGCAGCACTTCGCCATTCTGCTTACAGAAGATGAACCAGGAGTAGACTCCTCTCCTTCTCCTTGGGTATTGCTATCATTGTACGCAACACCTGCTGTTGTAATAGTAGAAGCTACTGCTCGTAGAGGTTGCGCCGAGTAGTTTTGCTCCTCGTCTCCATTTTTATGAAGCATTGATTCCTTTGTACTTGTAGTTGAGGTGATACAACTTGGATCGTGATGTAGAACCTCGCTCCGCGAGTGAAGCGGAGACGGAGCAGCGAGACCGACACGAGCCGCGAAATCGTCCTCCGGAGATAGGCAGCTCTCTGGTGTCGGGAACGGCGGGTGCCCATCATCAACTGTCCTGGCTGGTGCGACCTTGCTGTGGAAAAAGCTTGGGCTGAAACTGAAGCTGCCGCGCCGCGCCCTTTCTTTCACGATAGGCGTTCATTAGACGTCGCAGCGAGATAACTATATGACCTTTTGGTTGGAACATCACCATCTTTTATTTAGCTTTCTTCAAGTACTTCTCATAATTGCAAACCGGCTCCAATTTTGAATATACTCTGGTAAATGTTGTGTTCACGATTTTAGCCTTAAGTCGAGTTTGTCTGCCTATCATGGTGCCATACCCCTGCTCCACTTTCCCCCCCAAAACAGCTCTGCTCCGGACCGCCTGGCTCCTCATTGATTCGTTCGTCCGTCGAACAAGAGGTCGGACAAGAGGAGCCTCGATTGCCGTGTTGCTTCATCTGGTGCGTCAGCGCAGAGCTCGAGTAGCTACGCGAAGATCGAAACAAACTGCTTCCGCGCAACCGATTAGAGCTTCCTTCTTACTTTTCTCTTCCGAAGATCTGTGGATGCATGCGCTTGGTTGATGTTTCGCTAGTTCACCCCCATCAAGATCAAGATACACGACCTTATGGGAGGTTTCCCCCCATCAGGATCACGATCGCCTTAAAGAGCGCTCTTCCTCGCGGAAGCGAGGCGCGTCCTTGCTGCAGAGGTCCCCCATGGCGCTGAGGGTGGTCGTCGCCTTTATGTACTATTTCGAGGCCAGGCGATTCTGCCAAATTGCTGCTGCATTTACCTCCCAAATTGCTGGTAGAGGACGTTCGAGAAATATCAGGATCGTCTACTTCTTCTAGAACAAGACTTCCTTCATCAGGGCAAAAAACAAGACCTCCTTCTTCCAGTGCGTCCTCCTTCTTCCAGTGTTTCTTGCAGTCACCCGAGCCCGACTCCTGCTCCTGCACGGCTCTAAACTCCTCGTAGGAAGGCGCTACGTGCGATGTCCGACGGGAAGACGAGCGCGTCCACATCACTTGCAAGGCAAGCTCTATCCCAAAGGCTACGAAAAAGAAGATCTCCAAAGCAAAAAAAACGACTCTGTTAGATGGGCTTAAGTTCTAGTTAAGTAAGTTTCTCCTCGTCGGTCTATGATTTATAAATTATATTCGTTTATTTCAGCTACATAACTATAATTACAGGACTATGACGCTTTTTTACTTATGTCGGGGGTTTAAGATTTTTACTCAGAAAAATTATCGAGAAAATAGCTCCATTCGTGGAGATGCAGATGGAGGATCCATCATTCTGGTCCCTAACATTCAATCCCGAAAAAGCAGCGCGCTCCCGCGTCGTGGCTTCTCGATCAGCCGAAGGGTGCTTGTGCATCTCTGTTTCCACTCCAAGACAGACCATATTGAACATGACCAAGGCAGCACAGACACAATTATGATTGCCCTCGAGTTGTTGCTGTCCTGCTAATTCGTGTTGTTCATCCACCGTCTCAACAGTCATTTTCTGAACTTGAAGACACTCCTCTTCTCGTTCCTCTTGTTCAACTACAGGCAAATCCTGAGAGCTGTGGGTGCCCTGCATCGATGCGACCTTCATCCTCTTGTCTGGCGCATTGGCAGTCCCTGCTTGTTTCTGCACACTGCCAAGCGAAGAGCGCGCGGAGCTTCCCGAGACAGGCCTGCCCCATGCGTCGACAGGACTACGACTTATGATTCCGGTCCCCGCACCTAAAAGCACTGGCATTGTCCGCACTGGCGGACCCACAGGCATGGCGGGATCCTCTTGATGATTGCCTGCCTCTTCTCGTTAGAGCAGATGCGGAAGTGACGAGGACAACTATCTGTATTTTTATACTTACTTTGATTGCTGGAGGGAAGACTAACCTAGTGGGTACTAGTATATGAATATATAATAGTAAAACTTGAAGCAAGAAGCTTGATGAGGTCTTCCTTGTTCAGCAAGTGCATATCCATTTTCATTTTTCTTGGTTGATGTAACATAGATAGGCTCTCTAAGCGGGATGGATTCTGATACATAGAGATGCTTATCATCATCAACCTCATGCAGCATAGAGCTTCATTTATGGACTAGCAATTAGAAGTCGTCTTAATCTCTCTGTGGATCGTGCGGCAGGACCCGCGTTCGTACCCGATGTTGCAATCCTCCCCATCCAGTGATGCCGAGAGAAGCAGCCCTCTGCTCTAGTGGGGTCAGCATATTAGCGAGAAAACGCATGCATCCTGATGCAGTACTGTATACTCACAAGAACTCATAACAAGTTAGTAGTAGGTTATCACCACCCTCTATATCCCTGGTTGAGTGAGATGCCCCGCGTCCCCCTTAGCTTCTTTCCCCTTCAGAATTCATCAAGGGGGACAGACGCCACTCACCTGCATGGTCCACAACCACACGGGATTATAGTCAAAAACTCGCCTTAAGCATAGAGGTCGTCGTACCACTCAAGACGCTCGGACTAGGCAACCGCGACGGCGCAACCTCCTTTACAGGACCTGGGAGCCCCGCTCCAATACCACGGGACACAAAAAATTCGCGCCGTCCTAGAAAATAAATAGTGAGGAGACAAATCAACTTGGCAGTGATGAATCTTTCTGAAGCAGCCTTAGACAACAAAGGAAATAAACCTCACCAACCTTCCGTCTTAATGGACCGACACTTATGCTGGCAACATCTACTTAAGTGCTGTACAAAACAAGAACTTGTAGTACTGTAGGTTTAGATTTTACAACTCATTTATTGCCATAATAGAAATCCCAGTCATTGTCTGCACAGCTATCCAACGACGAGAAAATGGTTGGCAGGCTTCGCTTCGTAACGTAGAGGAACTCCAAGTTTTGGTACTCCTGTCTTTCTTAGAGCCTCATACGATTGCGATGGCTTCCGTTGCCCCTCTACTTCTTGGAGGAGTACGCGATCCCTGTTGGGTGCTTTATTAATTTAGTAGATTTATAAGATTCAGATCGATTGGGTGACTTGTTATCGTCGAGCCTTAGCTTCCCATGCGTCCAGCTAGCTCGATGATGCCGCCCGTTGTGTCCGCGGCTGAGGAGGCGCGACTGGCGGTTGACGAGGAAGAGAAACGCCCTGTACAACTAGCGACCCCATTTTGCGTACCATGCGGGTTATTTGAAATAGAAGTTTGATTCAACGAAGTCCGCGTGACAGCCGCGCCCATCCGCGTCGCTACAGACCGGTCCCCCGTTGATATCGATATGCCTTTTGATGATGTTGATGTTTTCGTCAACATTGATGATGTTTTCGTCATAGACATAGAACCAGAACCAGTTTGATGATGTGCAGCTACTTGTCGTGATGTTGATGCTGGATTCATCCCGAGATTGATAATATGTCCTCCTCGACTAGCAGGCTCGCCTCGTGCTTCGTCACCACCTCCAGCTTCGCCTCCTGCTTGCCCCTGCTCGGTTGGTGCTCCGAGATTGCTGCAGCTTCGACTGAAAATGCTTGGCGAAGTCGTCCTTGGGAAGTCGATCCGCCTCGTCCTCGTGAAGACAGTCCTCTCGTCAACATTCCCGTAAACCCCCATCTTTTTAGAGGATAACGCACTACTTGTAGTCGTGACTCAGTGTACTAAAAAATTCCACTTTCGTTGTTTGAGGCCGATGCATTTCACTCACACCCAAATTTCAAGACCTCAAAATTATGAGGCCCTTTTTCTTTCATCTCTTCCAAATCCAAAGTATAAATATATAAATAGTGACCCTTCTACTAGTATCTTCTATTCGGTTTTTCAAGCTCTTCGTGTGCTGCTTTCTTGGTAGGAAAGCAGCTTTACTACTCCCGATTTCAGTACACTCGCACCGGCAAAAGAGCGCAGCCCTTTCGTCGACCGCGTGCCTACTTGTAGCATGGTCGATTTTCTTCCTCCTTCCAGTCAATTTATACCGCAAAACAAATTGAGAGTTGTTTGTCATGATAAACAGTGAGACAAAAAAGTCAGCTCATCTTCATGTTCATGCTGCTCATTCTTCTAGTCATGGAAAAGATAATAGTGATCGCCATCGCAGGCTATTACAACGAGAATGTGTAAGTTCATCAGGAAAAAACCTACAGCCAAAAAATCACAAAAACAAATCAAACAACCTTACCAAGAAAGTGTAACGACAAATTCAATCGATAGTGCCTTCTAGCAAGTACGACCAAATTTTATAGGATTTGTTTCAAAAACCTTTTCGTACTACCCTACCGCTATGAAGGATCACAAAGCTTCAACTTCTCATACTATCTATCACGACTACAATTAACAATGTATGGTCATGTATGTCACGATATTGACATCGACAGGTAAGATACGACAATATCGATAATCCGCCAGTAGGCCTATAGTTCGTCAAAGTCAATCTCAGGCGCTCCTGACTTTTTCGTCTGATTGATCTCAGCAGCTGTCGGTTTCTCTTGCTCCGACTCCTCCAAAGAAGGCAGCAAGACCCGCTTGATGTCTGAGGTTTCTTCCCCGCCTAGTTGAGGTCCTCCCTGAGCAGGGTTATTCGCGCTGCTTCTCCCACCAGGACACAAAGCTGCGCCACCGCTCGCTGCCTGCCGACCATTTGATGAAGTGTTGTCATGCTCCTGGCCTCCTGTCCTCCGATGCGAGCTACGCTTACGCATGCTGCGAGCTACTAGGTTGAGATATGTTGGGTCTACGATCGGTGTTTTTGGCGATTTCCTTGCTGTTTTCTTAGATGGGCTACCGCCTTCGTATCCCTGAGGCGAACATCCACCTTGCTGTTCGCATCCCTGAGACGAACATCCTTGCTGGCACCTTTATTTCCAACTTCAAGTGAGTAGAAAATAAAAGAGCCAAGGAGGATGAAGGAGGATGTTGACGGGCAACCAACGCGAGGATGTTTACGGCTTTCATATAGCATGCAGTAGCCTTAATATTCAACATGTTGATCTTGTTCTTTGTAGTACTCATCGTCATCTTCTTCATCCTCCCTGAAGCTCCTTCGACAGGGCCATGATCCTCGACAACCTTTTTTGCAAAAATTTGCTTCCCACGCCCTCTGGCTTCGTCGTCAGTGAGGAGACCAATCTCACCCACTGTAGAGGCAGAGGAGCGAGGGAGATCATTGGCTAAGCTGCAATCTAGTCCTCTCCCAGAAGATGAAGACGCAGAAGCAGGAGAAGCCTTCACACTGCTTTCTCGTACTTGATGAGCTACCTCGTCCCGTTGATGTACAACGACCTCATCACTTTCTGCTACCGCAGCAACGCCTTCGTCCTCACTTTTTTAGAAACAAAAATCATAGCCCTCGTCCGATAGATAGTAGTACACTTAAGAGAGTGTTCTTGCAAACACTCGTAGTTCCACTCTTAGTTACATCTCGTCCCACCCTGATTTCGAAACGCACACGTGCAAGTAGAAGAACCTGTGTTCCACGAGAAAACAAGTAAGGAGCACTGTTGTGATAGATTGCATAAAAATCATCTACCTCTGGGAAGATTATGTCGAGGTATTCCTCTTCCAGGTCGTCCTGCAGATTTTCCAACCAGGCGACCACTTTTTTGTAGCGTGTCAGTGAGTGTCCGCTGCGTGCAAACAGCGCAATGATGGCTCCAAGCTCCCGCGGTTGTCGTCGGGCCATCCCAACATGCTCTTCAAATTAGAGTCCGATTGGGATCGCAGCGATGTAAGTGGCGTTAGTTGTGAGGTGTTGTTAATAGAAGAACATCCTTTATTTTGGCCGCCCTTTCCGCATGAGTACTAGCATCCTTGGCGTGAGTCGGCAAAAAAAGAACATATCACTAGTTAATAAGTTGTAAGTACCATCCCTCTTGGCCGCGGCTCCTTTTTTTACTTGCAGCCTTAATGTATATGAGGTAGCAAAAACGCCACTGCATCGAAGCGTGGCAAAGGGCTGTGCTCGGCAAGCGATTCCAACAGAATCAAGATCGAAGCGAAATCGAGCTGCGCAGAAATCTAGGGAAGATATTTTTTCGGTCATAGTTCTTATGATTAAACGAACCAGAATACTTCTATCGCCACGACATTATCTTATCACCATTTTTCATCCTCTTAGCAACGATCTAGGAAATATGCATTCGGAAATTCCAAATCTTCAACACGACCCTTTGGTGAAGCTTGAGCGTCGGTAGTTAGTTTCTATTTTGACTCCAGTACCATCTCATTCCGGAAGAAGAGCCGGTCTACTCGGAGAGCCAGTGCAGATCGTATCCTATCGGCCGATGCTGAGGCACCCAGCAGCAGCGGGTCTAGCAAAATCCGCTTGATGACATGTGCGAGGTCCACGAGCTTCCCCGCTTTGGCGAACATGTCAGCCGTAGAGATTTTCTGCACGAAAGGATCCGCGAATCCGGAAAGCTCATGCCTGAAGGCGGCTGCGGTCGGACGAAAGGCGGCATCAACGGAACCACGAGCGGCGAGAGATGTTGCCGCTGCAGAGCAAATATGAAGCCGGCGGACGCGGAGTCCTCAAACGAGACCTATCCAGTTCTATAGATGAGAACATTTAAGAAAAGTTAAACTACATGTCTAAACCTTCTTCGCAACCCTCTTCTTCGAGAATGTAGGTTTCGCAAACTTCTTCGCAAACTTCTTTCGCATCTTTCTCCCAAATTGCGGACTCTTTATTTCGTTTGAATGCAGTCGTCAGGATAGAAGACTCGTTACTAGCAGCTAACAGACCGGAGTTTAGGGTTAGATCATCAATGACTTCTTAATTCATGTCATATGAGGATCTGTTGGCCGTGCTTGTGGACCCATCTCCAATTGTGTCCCGATCGGAGAAGTGTCGAATTTTTGCGAATAGTCCATGGACTTGCTTCAATTAGAGCCGTGAGCCTTTATTCACCTCGGCGGGCGGGCCCTCATCTCGACGACCCCTTCTCATCTTCCCATGTTGAGAAGAATAGATGAAGGGGAAACCCTAAACCCTGAAACAGAAGGGTAACCCCTTTCCCATGAAAGAAATTCAAGGGTAACAAAAGGGTAGCGAGATGCTGAGAATGATGGACTCTAAATGTTGGCCTTAATTCAAAATTTTTTCCACGTCCCATTCTCCCCATTTGAATACGCACTCCGTACTCTCGAAATCAGTCTTGAAGATCGGCGGCGTAGGATTCTGTAAGAGGGTGTGTATCTTCATGGTTTGAAGAATCAGGCACACGAAGTGGTAGCCGCTGCTCTAATTTTCCTCTATTTCCATTTTCATTCTGTCAACAAACGACAAAACATATAAGTACCAACTTTCTTTTCTTTTTGCCCATCTTGGTTGCGCCAACGCCGCTCGTTCGCTCCGGTGTGTCTCGCAGGACCGCTCTCGTAGGTGGCAGATCCTTATCCCCGGCAACGAGATTCCGATCGAATGCCGACTTTACTGGCCGTATCGGGGCCTTATCCCCTTCTTCGGATGCAAACGTATCTTAGGGCTTTTATTTGTTAGCCAAGAAAGGGAACTCACTTTATGATGATGATGATTGTACCTATTCTAGAGGTGTTGGGCTGATTCTACTTTCTACGTCGTTTTGCACTTCCTGATGTGGTTTCTGTAGACATGGACTCACTTGTCTTGAAACCTTATAGCTAAGGGACAGTTATCAGGTTTACCAGAAGAGGCACATCTTACTGGGAATATTAGAGAGACACTGCTTAAATACCTAAAAATAAAGCTCACCACGAGGAACACCTTACGAGAAGAAAATAGACCATGCAGATCCAAAACTCACCGAAATGCATAAGGGTTCGAATCGCCAAGTACTAGATCCACCTCCGAAGCGCCAAGAACGTCTTTTCCCCTATCTCGTCCACGATCTTGTTCGGATAGGGAACAAGAGGAGTCCGGAGTCGGAATCATCTTATTGTTCGTAGTACTGCAGAGTCCCGCGGCATTACGCTCTTCTTCTGCAGCATACACAGTCCAAACTTCACGCTGCTCTACTAGGCAGACACCTCTACGACCGCTGCTCATCGCCGCCTCTACCTCTACCGGAAGGTCGTGTCGACGAATCCGTTCGCGGCAACGAGAATGAAAGGGGAAACTTCGTCATCACAATGGTCGTTAACGCTTTTCTCTAGATCCTCTAGTACTGCTCCCTCGATAGAAAATTGTTTGCGAAAGTAGATGAGTCCATTCATGAACAATTGACAAGTAATTATTTGACGTCAACAAGAACATACACTTGAGCAACGGCGATCGCGTGAGCTGTGGCCAGCCTGCTGTCTGGGCCCAGTCGTTTCCGAAGTTTGGGATTGTCCCACGTGGCGTGGGAGGAAAACGTTTTCGCACGCACGATTTGTGGAAATTCTAGGATGAAACGAGAAAAAGTACGTGCCTCTGCTGCTTGTGTGCGTGCCTCTACTGCTTGGGTCGCGTCCTTGTTGAGCAAACCACCGTAGGCCTTGGAGAACGTGCTGGTGTGAATTAGAAAATCGAAGGAACCTTGACTATTTCGAAAAACTCCATTGACTTTGACTATTCTGAAAAACGACAAATTGCCAGAATGCGGCCATAACCACAACGCCACGTGTTTCTCCTGCAACGCTGCCTCCGTGCAAGCTTCGTCTTCGAGTAAGGCGCGTACTCGACACCACACGTACCTGTCTATGGCGGACACCGAATCCAGAGATGCAGAGTCAGACAGCACGTCGACGATATTATCGGAGTCAGTCACTCGCTCAAGCACAGCTTCATCTGCATCCTTTATCTTTTCAACAACGGGTCTTGAAAAAGTTTCATCAACCTTCTTGCTCTCGTTTCCTTGTCCTCCTTGCCTAGCTGTAGTTTTTGTCATGCTACTGCCTCCTTCTTCTTGCAGGCGGTCCCCTGACTCCTCCTTTCTTGCAGCGAATAAATTCTTTGTTGCAGCGATATCCTCTGCATCTGCTAGACGACCTGCTTCGTCTTCGGCTTCTCCTCTACGACTACCTTGGCCGTCGATATTTGCCAGTGGCGCGACGAAGCTGCTGCTACTTGACGCGGCAGAAGAAGATGCTCCGAATCCCTTGCTCACGTCGCAGGAAGGACCAAGCAGGGTTTCCGGAGCGAGAATGTCAACGAAATTGACTCGCGGTCCCCCCGCTCTCCGCAGCCAGGAACTACTTGTAGTACCTCCTTTGATGTTTGAATCTTCCACCACCTCTCCTAGAAGTCTTCGTTGTTCAGAAAGTCCGAGATCAACATGACACGCGTGATGTTCAATAGTAGTAGTAGTAGTAGTAGTAGTAGTAGCATTACTAGTAGTAGGCTTTCTGCTATTTCGTCCTCTGTTCACGACAGTTGTGGTCGACGACGCGGCCTTGTTGCTGCTCAACAAAGCAGCGACACCGTTCTCGGGCGCGTTATTTCTACGACTGCTGGGTCGACTCCGAAGTGACGCTGCGCTCTTAGCGAGATATATACCGTGTCCCAGCCGAACTTGTGCGTCTCGATTCACCAGCTGAGGTCTGCGAACGGCCTCGGGTGTGGCAAATTTTCCTTTCAGAGCGGAGGAAGGACCACTGTCACCTCCTTTCTTTCTTCTTTTTGCTTCTGGAGAAACGAAGTTGATTTCTGACAGCATTTTCTCGATGCGCTTCTCCGCTGGTGATGCCTTGACTTGACTGCGTCCGTCGCCGTCTGATAAAATGTTACTTTCTAGAGGCGGCAGCGACTGCTGTGCAGCCTTGCTGCTCGTTGTATCTACCTGATGATCATGTAGGTGAGTATACAGTTATATCGTCTACGATATGCTGGCTCAGCGGACTGAAAATGAAGATCCGATTTAAATGTGAACAAGGGATAGTAGATTGCTACTGAGGCATGTGACAAATCGTCAAGGTCAAAACTGTAAAACTTTACAGTACTACTACAACTCTCGTGATGAGAGAAAAAACATAAAAGAATTCACCAGAATTACATCCTTCTTCACGGCCTTGCTGTGCTTCTGTGCGTCTTTCTTGCTTGAGGAACGTGCACTTTGTTTTTCCTCTGCTTTTCTTTTTGCACGCAAAGGCGTCGCCAGTTTCCTTCCGGGCGTTGGTGACTTTCCGCTCTTCATGGGCGTCGCATGCTTCATCGGTGTTACTGTCTTTTTCGGAGTGGCAACCTTCATTGACGGCGTCGCAGCCTTCTTCAGTGACGGCGTCGCAGCCTTCTTCAGTGAGGGTGTCGCAGCCTTCTTCGGTGAGGGTGTCGCAGCCTTCATGGATGGTGTGTCTACTTCCTCGGCACGCTTCTCTACTCCCTCAGCCACCTGCGTAGGACGCTTCTTTCCTGCGCCACCATCAGCGGTTGTACTTCGTTTATTGCGAGCAGAAGGGGTTGTCCCTGCAGCTTTCGACGCCTTCGTAGTAGCAGAGGGTCGGCTCTTCACAACAGACGCCGGTGAAGACTTAGGTCGACCCTTCACTACAGAGGGTGAAGACTTCGCGCGACCCTTCATCACCGGAGTCTTACTCTCTCTACCGCGAGGAGGCATCCTCCTTTACCACAACATTTTTTGAGCTCGAGGATGACTTGGAATTCTTTCCGAAGTCACGTGTCGATGATAGTTTGCAACTCTAGGATGGTTAAAATACACACTTCTAGCCATTATTCGTGAGAGACTGTGACTGACTCCATCTATCTACAGGAACGTCTAACAACTATCCATGATCTTCCTTCTCTAATATTCCTGCTAAATGCCTCTACCTACTATCTACCTACTATGGTGGGTCCGACGTTAAATCGCTATGCACCATTTTTGCAGTCTTTGAGAAGCTAGCACCGACCAAGAATTTGGATTTGGATGTGGAGATTTCAGAAAGAGTTTTTTTTTGGCCACCACATGGGGCGCAGTGCGATTCGCAAGCAACAGACAGGCAGAAGGAACAGTTATGCCAGATGAAAAGAAATGAGAAAGCGCTATCCCCCCGCAACCACGAACTAAGACGGACCAAAGGGCTCTTTCACAACATCTGAACAAAGGTAGAGATGATTGGGGGTAACTACTTCTCTGAGAAACAGGTCGATGTCTCGTTAGTTTCAAGACAGTACCAGTTGTACGGTTTTGCTTATCTATAATTGCAACAGCGAGGACTCTTGTCTTATAATGTTGATAGCAACTTCATGAACTTTTTGCCATTATTTATTTTGCAAAATTACTTTTTGTACAGTGAGTGTCAGTCAGTAGTTTCTTCGCATGGCTGAGCGTACCTAAGTGTTGCACAACGCTACAACATGTTGCTAATACTTGTGGAAGTAGTTGGAGGAAACAGTTCAAACTTAACGATGTTTTGAGTAAAGATGGATAGATATTTCTTGGTCTAAAGGAAATCGAAATACATCAAAAGTAAACAACTTGGAGCAATTGATTCTTGCACTTGCTACATAATTTTACTACATATTTATGATTACACTCTACTAGAGCATTGGTTTAGAACTTGAAAGTTGATGCAAATTCCTATGCGATCTAGCAAAACACGATGATGTATGCTCGCAGGAGCTAAACTAGCTCTGCCCCTAAACAAAATTATCTTCACTAGCACAGCAAGCAGCAAGAAATCGTTATCACAAACACGAATCGTAAACCGAAGCTGTTTCAGTGATGCAAATACACGATCAGGCCAACACAATCGTCAAGGTGCAGTGTCCCTGTCATGATTCAACTTACCCAGCAGTGGCGAACGCGTATTCCACTATGACCCTTCTAGGAGACATACAGACCCCTCTCCGGATTAAATTCCAATTTCTCCAAGAATGCAGAGATGCTCTTTGTGATCGCCGCCGGATTGGGAGCTCCAGTAGGACTGCCAAGTCCCGATACAACATTTTTTGTTAGATGATGGATGTAGGGATCACTTAAATATGGAAGGTATCATGTTGTGTCCCCACATATTCAAATAATTGCTTGCACCTAATGCTACTTGCAGAGTTAGACGTAGACCACTCAAAAAAGGAGAACCTGAACCTTAGTTAGACCACTCAAAAAAAGAGAACCTGATGAAGCTTCTAACTCTAACAGCATCGGTGCATTAATTACACAATTAGAGTAGCTTCTAGCTCTATCACAATTAGAGAAGCCTTAAGTTGAGATCGAACAACCTCTCGCACATCCAACGGCCTTCCGTCAGAGGGTCGTACAAGATCACGCCCAATTTGCTACTGCCATCCTCCTCCAGCACGGCTCCGCGCAACAAAAAGGATTAGCGGAGGAGCTTTTTATAATGTGTCTGTACTAGCTTTACTGAAAACTGTACTGAAAAGTATTCGCGGATTGTCTGTACAAAAAGGATTAGCGGATTGTCGGTACTGAAAAGAGTTCAAGTTCATGCTATTGCTTCCACGTGCGGATTGCCACGCACGCAAGCAAGTCTCCGAGTGTTTCTTTTCATCGTCAATGATTAGTACAACCAACCAATCATTTATTTTTTTGACTTTCAAGATATTGCGCGATGAACTTAAAAAATGGAGTGTCCCGAAGTATTCCCTGAATAGTCCTTGATTGAATTGATCTTACAATTACAAGGAAGAGGATAAAGTTGACATCAAATGCTGACAAATTATAGCTCATAACAATATTGGCGACTTTCCCCAATACGCTTCGTTATATTCACCACAATGCCTTGCTCCAACGCACCATGGCACTCAGATTCTTTGGACGAGCCGTCTCCTCTTGAATTGGCTGCAGAAGATGAAGCTGCACCCATCTTCCCTGCAGTTCCAGAATCCTCCTCTTTGTTTTTTCCGTGTCCTCCTGCTCCTGCTGCGTGAGTTAGAGAGATGGCCGTCTACGTCAGAAAGTGATAAGTAGCTAAAGCGGCAATATGAGAAGGACTTTTTTTCTGTGCAGGACTAAAGTATCCGCCTCTCTCTGGTTAGTCTTAGTACAAACGCAGCAAGGACTAGAAGCAAATATGAATGGTAGAACGCCGTAAGTTCGATTCCAGGGACACAAAATTCTCCAACTTGTTCGATGCCTGTGGCCTCAAGACTCGCAATGTCTGACCGTCGTACTGTAATTGCTGCACGAAGTACTCAAATACTGCGTCTGAAAATGATGATAAGGATGACGATAGCGATAAGAGTGAAAATAATAGGGGGGAGGGCACATTCAAGATGACGAGGACGAGGGGAAGCAGGAGCAGTTTCAGGATCAGGTTTAGGTACAGGGAGGAGTACAAGAAGGAGGGAGAGGACGAGGACGAGGGAGAGAAGAAGGAGGGAGAGGACGAGGACGAGGGAGAGAAGAAGGAGGGAGAGGACGAGGAGAGAAGAAGGAGGAAGAGGAGGATGATAAAGATCATGATAACGACAGTAGAGAGGCTATCTTATAGTTGAATGCTGCTAGCTTGCTAGAATTTGATAGGTAAGTGCTATTCGTGAGTTAGGCATGAATGCCTCACACTTTGAAAACGAATTTCCTGCTTTTTCCTTCATATCCAAAAAATTGTGATTATATCTCAAAATCATTCAATTCATTTCCTGAAGAGAGTTTTGCACTGACAACTGAACAATGTCAAATTATCCCAAATGACCAACTTATCGCATCATGATCAATTGACTTTCTACTATCTCTAAAGTTTCATAACCCTCCAAGAATGGTCCTAAACTTTCTAAGATTTCAAAAACAAGTCTCAATTTTCAAACTCAATCCAATAAATTTTGATTTTGTCTCAAAATAATTCAATTTATTTGCTGACGAGAGCTTTGCATCAACAACTGAGGAATGCATGGGCTGCACCTCGTAACCTAGTCCTCTAGACACATCGTGAAAGCTGCAACAGGACAGCTACTTAACGAGCAGAATATTCAACAAGAGCCATCCTGTGTCTGCCAATACGCACTGACACTGAGTCGCAGCGTCTTTCATCTTCATTGAGAAGAAAATAGTATTCTCGTTGCAATCATGCACCAACAAAAGCCACTGGCTACAACTTACCCTAATATTGCTAAAGAGTAGTTTGCTCTGTTTTTCAATGATGTATGTTGCTAAATTCAATAGAAAGGGAGTACGCTTCTAATGTTGCGATGAGGACAAATTGCAGAAGTATTAATATGAGAGAAAATACCATCGTCCAGCAATGCTGAGGTTCCCTGACTGTCTGGCTTTGTGCCATGGGCGGGTGGCTCCGGGTCCGCGTCTGTTGTCGGCAATGATATGGTGTGCAAGGCACAGGTTGCAGCATCAAACAACCGCACAAGGCGTCGACCCTGGCTTGGCTGCTGTCCACCCTTCTCTTGAGATGAAGGCCCCACCGCTCCCACGCTGGAAGATGTTGAGGCAACTACTAGCAGGTGTGCATCGATCGCTTCGGGCACGTGCACCATGACGTGAAAATAGCCTAGAGCGCTCCCGTTTGACAATTCTCGAAGACCCTGGTGCGCCACTGCGGGTCTAGGGAGCGCTGTACGAGGAATCTCTAAAGAAGCGGAAACCTCTCCTAACCCTTGAGGGCTTTGCACGGTGGACGAGCAAGATTAGGGCTATCCAGTATTCATCTTCTGGTCGTGGCATCTAGTACTTTGTTCTATTCATCAAGTGGATGAATACTCTACAAGTCGTATGCATCTTTGTAGCAGCTACTAGTCTTCATCGAGTAGATAAAGAGTCCTTTACAGGCAAGCAGAAGTCAGAGGTGAATAATTCATCACAGTGAGAGCCTTAAGAAGAAGGCGTTGCGTGAGCAGACGAAAACTCGATCTTTCGAAGCAGTCCCCCGACATACGCACTGGTACTACCGCATAGGAGGTCCTTGCGTGAAGGTCGCGCCTCTCGAAGGTACACTTTGTTGCTCCCAATGTCGTACACCAGAATCAAGAAAACGCGTGCTGCTGAGGAAGAGGAGGAACTTCCCGTCGCAGACGTCGCAGTCGCAGATGATGATGTGGTTGCAGATGCTGCAGCTGGTGCCGAGGAAGATTCGACGCCGCTCGCAGGCTCGGCTAGGTAATACGCCGCAAGACCAGCGCCCGTATCTTTTGCGATCTCAGCCTCTTTTTCAAAGACGGCCAAAACACAGTAGCGATCTCGAAGCAAGCGCACACTGCGATGCACTAGAACGTTTGCAGAACCAAAATTAGCGCTCCTTATGATAGTCTCGTACTACCCTTAGACTTCTAAACACCTGTTAAAAAGCAACTACTCTTCTCAAAAAATGAAAGAACATTATAACTCATCTTCTAAAGTCACAGCCTGTGAACAATCCAAGAACAAACAAACTTCTGAGATACATACTCTGTAAAGACAAATTCTCCTCGTGGACCTTAGCTGTTGTTCTATGTCCTTCAGAGGACACCTGATTGGCGTCTCCAGGTGGACTCCACATCGCCAGGTCCTCAGGGGTATCCAGCACCGATGTCGCTGGTGGCGCCGGAAAGCCTTGTATTAGTGTGTGCCTGCATCGTCCGTCTCGTCGGTTTCTTCATGTTGGTACTTACCTTTTCCCTTGTATCCCAAATCCGTGGGAAAAGGGTAGCGAGAGGCTGAGATGAAGGATAGAACAAAGCTGACCATAATTGTGCTCGAGCCGACCTAACTAGAAAAAAGAAAGACCAGAGGCAGATAGAAAAGAAAGAACAAAGCTGACCATAATTGTAACAGCTTGAGGCCGCGCCGCGCACGGTCACACACCTGTTTCTCTTCGAAGACCAGTCGCTTCAACACCACACTAGCATCTTGCCATTCCACCGCCCGTTGTTGCAAAGTCCGCAACTTTGAACTGACTCCTAAGTCCTCTCCGAAATTGCGCTCTCGTGTCCCCACCTCACGCAGCAGCTCCAGTCTCCGTGCTTTTAGCTCGTGAATCTGCTGTTGATCATGAAAGAGCAAGAGGAGGATCCATCTTCTAGTCACAGCACATCTCGATCTCAAATTTGAGGATATTGTTATACTTTGAGCAGTTTGATCACAGGGTATAGCATGTTGACTTGGTCAGCGTGGGTTGACTTGGTCAACGTGGGTAGAATTCGTCAGCGTGGGTTGACTTAGTCAACGTGGGTTGACTTGGTCAACGTGGGTTGACTTGCTGGTCAACATGGTCCTTCTCCTCTCCTCCATTCAACTGAGAAGTTGTATTTCTAGTTCAGATGCATAATCAAGATGCTCAAACTCTCGATAGCGGCAGAGTTTTTTCTCGAGTTGCTGCATCTTTTCTTTCGCCTGATCGCGGTAAAAAACCGCCGAACTAATGAATCGCTTCACCCGGTGCCAGGTCGCGAGACCTGAAGATACTCCGGTTCCACTCACGACCCCTCCATGTGAGTGTGTCGCTAGCACGCCTACTCCACCAGTCATCGACCTTGCACCTTCAACGCTAACGGCGCTCGTTGGATGGAAACTCACAGTAGCTGATGCCGCTCCTCGTATCCCGCCGCTAGGATCATTAGCCAGAACCGACAACTTTTGTCTACGAAAAACGACAAAAATGCTTGTTGTATTTAATGATATTGATAGCAAGTACAACCTACTCAACGTCCCCAAACACACCATCACAAGTACTAAAAGTCAAATTCTTAACAGCATCCTCCTGCAAATCGCCGTTCGTCGCAGTACGATAATGATGCTCAACGGAGCCAGGGGCTACGCTGAAGTACTCCTCCCGGACCGTTGCTGCGTCCAGCAAACGCAGCAACCCCTCCGCATGATCGAGTGAGGACAGCCAAGCGGGCTCAACTTTCGAGGAGGAAACTCTCTCGCCTCCTCGTGCTGCTGGTGATACGGGAGCATCATCCGCCAGCAGAGTCCCCGCAGCCTGGAATTTCCGTGCGAACAACGGCTTCCGACTCATGCTTAGTCTTAGCGCCTCAAGAAGAACATGGGTATGGCTCCCTGCGCCTATCGGTCAAAACCGTCGATCTTCACTGGTAAAAAGAGGGTCTCCACCGGTGCAGCACATTCGAGGAACTACATGCTCAGATCGGTTGTTGTTCAGGGTCAGCGATGCGCCATATTAGCTTCAGATTCTTCTTGGATGATGTCTGTGACTACTACCACTACCACCTCCTACTTAGTGTGAGTAGCTACTTAGAATCGTGGCTGCTACAAGGTCAAACTGATGGAGGAACGGCAAGCTCTCCTCGGTTACGCGTAAAGTATTTCCTTCTCTCGTATCGAGCTATTCACTAGCAAAAGGGAATAAGGAGGATGATCCTGGAGCGAGTTAAAGTCGTACTCTTCCAAACGATTGCTCCATTGATCAGACACCTCCCCCCCGGCAGTCAACCAATTTTACCATTAGAAAGTAGGCGCTACTTCCTGGTACGACCAAGTCCATCCAAGGGAAGATTATTTCTGATCTTCTCAAAACCTAAAGTTTTTTCTAGACGTCTTCATCTATTGAGTATCAGCTGTCATCAATTCTCATGTTCAGAGTGACTAAAGCAGCAGATTCTAAACTATGATGCAGCCTTTAGGTGTACAATTCAAGTCTTGCACACCAATCGAAAGGTTTGAGTGATAAGTGACATGATCAGCAGTGCCTTTGCAAACGCTTCATCAGGAAATGAATTCGATTAAAATGGAATATAACTGAAATTTCTTGGATATGGACATCAAATTCGAATTTGAAATGTCAATATCCAAGAAATTTCAGTTATATGTCGTTTTTTGGGAATTCATTTCCTGACAAGTCATTGTGTGTAGACAATGATTTCATCAGTTGGAAGTGTAAAGGTTGTCTATCACATTCTTCGTGAAGGTCTAGACGTACATCATGCTTCAATATGGGTTATGTGGTCCACGATAGGTTGAGAAATGATGTGATTGGAGCTAATCTGTGAAGTGTTTAAGTTGAAGGAAACGTTTTCAAACTCAGGAATCAGCATGCTGGTATGGTAGCGAAAACTTTCTTCAAAGTCGCTCATATTTACGTCACAAATCAGCATGGTATGTTAGCAAACGTTGCTCCAGCACGACGTGCATAATAACGCTACAAATCAACAGCGTATGCCAGAAGAGGTAAGTCCAACTTCAACGACGCTCACACTAACAAATCAGCAGGGCAGTCTGCTGCTCCAACTTCAATCAAAATTGCATTCGCCTCGGACTGCGGGCTCTCGCCTACTGCGGAAGCTGCTTCAAGCAGACATTGTCTAAGTAGAAGAAAACCGCCGGGTTTGCAGATATCGGTGCACCTCGCAGCTTTTGCATCGTTGTCACGGTCTCCCGAGAACATTCCCGCCTGCGTCTTTCTTGATGTTGATGCGCCATTTTTCTCTGGGTCACTCGCGGTGCGATGGAAAGCCCTAAGCCTCTGCTGATGCCCAAAACGTCTGACCACGAGAACGGCTGATGCACAGAACGTCTGTAGACACTGGACTCACTCCCCACCCTCGCCTTACCTTCGTCTCCCCGTCTCTTGCCTCTCGGTCCCGCCTTGTCTGTCAGTCGGTCGGCCCCCCTGTCCGTAAGTATCTTCTGTGTAGCTCCGCATCCCTTGTGATCTTTCCATTGCCTTCTCCCCCTCGCTCCCCCTGCGCTCTGCCTTTCCCGCACGGTTTTTCCCACCTTCTCGCACTCCGTTCCGCCTTCGCCAGCGTTCCATCCTTGCCCGCTGCTCCACCCTAGACCATTTCATAATTTTTCTGAGCTACTTGCGCCACTCTTTCGAAGAAGTCTGTCTCCTTGTTAGTGTTTCACTTTTAAACCGACTAGCATCATGCAGCCACGTTGGGCGCCGCCATGTCTGTTATGGACACGATATGGACGCTGCGATGAGCATGATGTATGAGCGGACGGGCTCAGGTCTCTCTTTGTCAGCAGGGACGTGGCGTTTCTGACTTCTTGTTAGTTGCGCCACTATTGCGAATAATTGCTCGCTCCTTCTCGCGGTATTTTGATTTCGCTTGCAGGTTCTCACTCAACTAATACATAGATTTTTGATTTCAAAGTTACAGCTTTTAAGCCTCTACAAGGAAGCAAAGACCATGAAATCTCCTCACTCACAGGTCACTTCTCTAGCTTAGAAGTAGATACATGCTTGACCCGTCAGACTGAAATCGGTGCATTTCCAATCCATGCTTGAACAAATGAAAGAGCAGTCCTTGTTCATGACTTACTCGGACAGAGGAACTTTTCGTTTTCATTTTTTTGTTTCGAATCATGTCGATAGTAGGTAAGTACTTGCCACCGGTTATTGTTGAAGGAGGCTCACTGAGAGGGTGCGCTATCGGCAATCTTCGGCCTGTAGTACCGACTGAATTTTGTGCACAAATCTTTCAGAATGAGGATAGAGCCATAAGGACATGCATTCGTTGGGGATAGGTTCGGTTGGGTTGGCTCCTCGTTCTAGTGGGTACCGTGTTGAGTAAACTACACGACTTCCCTTTTCTCGGAATTGGAAGTATGAATGGATGGATCGATAAGTCATGCTAATACAATTTTGGCAGTCAAGTCGGGTACTAATTTCTTCTACTACACGAATCAATGGCAAACCTGATCTTTTATTGAGTACCATCTTCCCTCGGTGACTATCGAGTTGCGCCACCACATCTACGCGGACACTTCTATTAATCTCTCTAGAAAAACAATAGAACTCTGGTATCTTTGCGGTTCTGCATCCCTAGTGGTCCTTTTTTGTGTTTGTCTTCTTTTCCTAATGGTGTTTGGATTGAGAAAAAGAGAGAAGACGAACATCAACCACCATGACTAAATGAGGACGCGTGAGGAACTAATGGCGATCTAGGAAGTGGGTAATCGGAAGAAACTATCAGAAAACAAGTCGGTCATTCATGTTACGTATTTCTAAATCAAATTTTTTCGTTATTTTGCCGCGTATAGGGTCCAGCCTCAGCTAGCTAGACAAGACAATGATCAGCACTGCGCGTTCTCTGAGAGAGCGTCGTCGACTACATCATTTTTCAACATCATTGCGTAACGATAACAATCTTACATATAAGGAGTCGTTCCTAGTCACAGAGACTCCAGTTTTGTTTTGGTCATTCTCGCGAAAATTTTTACGTGAGTCTGCGTTCATACACATGTATGTAGTCACCTATAACAGTATTTTCAGTCTTTTGCCAAACCAAGACCTCTTTTTTGCAACATCTTCAGATGCCGAAACCGCAAGGAATGCCCCCCCTATCATAGTCATATACGAGGTACATTAACTACAATACTCAGACATTTTCTATTGGTTATAAGTTTTCAATACTCTTTCATTTTGGAGTTCCATTCTAGCATTCTTCCATGCAGTCGTTCGCGGTAGCGCCATACTTCGGCAAAGCCGTGCCACGGTTCGAGGCCTCGTGGCGATGGTCGCAACGGCGGCGCAGACACCAACGCAATGCCAAAGCGGCAATAAACACAATGGCTGTAATCTGCATGACGGCCATGGCATCGAAGCGCATGGTGGACAGAGCCGGTCGAGAAGTGGAAATAGTTGTCGCTGCATGGGTCTGTAGGGTGGAGCTCAGCCGATTTGTAATCTCTTCATCTGAGTCTAACCGAGGTTTCGTTCTGGAGTTGGTGAGGTGGATTCGTTTCTGACTTCACTATGCAAACTATTCCCGAATGGATTTCGTGACAGTTCTTTCCAAAATTTAAACTATGTTGAGGCAATCACAAATACTACCGAACGGAAAAACTTGTCAAAGATGAAGCACAATAACAATGCCTATCCTAGTAATTTTCGTACTCTTCACTTCGGATGTATTCTGCTGCCACCTTGTTGGCGAGTTGGTCCCATTGAGCCGGAGTCCAGTTTCCATGACGATAGGAGCCCTCCCAGATTTCCTGCTGGCACTTCCTGATCAATTCCTCCTTGAGCGTGTTGCCTAGGGGCGGGAGATCGTCGAATTTCACCACTTGCTTGGCAACCGCCATCCCCTCCCAAGCTTTCGGGAGCAATAAAGGATTGCCTGGAGTACTCAACCCCCCGATACGAACAGTTTTTACGCCCCGCCAGTAGTCGCGAAGCGTTTCAAGTTTCCAGATAAGCCACTTCGAATTGGGAGATTTCCCGTTTAGACGCAGAAAACCTATTTTGAGTTGCATTCACATTCCGACCACGCGTAGGAGAACGAAAAGAAACCTGTGCAACTCTAAAAGGATAGGTTTTCCTAGTACTTTCTGCATTCAGTCGGCAAAGAAACAACTCGCATCTAATTAGCTTTTGAAAATGAAGCAAAGCGTAAACACGCTAGCTTTTAGTACGTCGTGTGTTGTTGTTTTCCCGTCCCGTAAGCTGGTCGCCAATTTTTTCAATCATCCTATTCACCCTCGGTATTAGGTTCGGATCCGCAAAATTTTTTACGGGCTTCTTCGTCGGAAAAAACATCCCGAAGCCCACCCCCATGCTCGCCGGTCAAACCCACCCAAAAAAGCAAGTGTAAAATCACTGCGAATGACGTGAAGAAAGATTCGGGAATGTCGATCTTGTTCACGGGTCAACGATGTAAGTAACCGTTGCAGATGCTCTGCGTACTGTCAGAAGATATCCATGTCTACCTTCTTGCGGAGTCACTTCTTTCTCCCCATCCAAAATTGTCGCTATTCATTGTTTTTGGTTGGGAGTGATAATATGCCCCAGAGATTATCAACGGCCTTCTATTATAATTTAGGAACGCACACGAGTTCATTTTTGGGCTTGCTTAGTTTAAGAGAGTGTTTTCATGTTGCAAACATTTCCGGTAGTAGGGGTGTGGTCAGGGCTAGGAGGCATGGGCTCCACCTGCGCCCCCCGGCACAGAAGAACGCACGGCCAACGTGTCCCTCACGAGGTGCGCCACTGCCTGGCGGGGGTCAGTCTTAGTGAAAAGCTTCTGTTGAACCGATAAAGAGGGCAGCACACCGATGACACTCAAGAGACCGATCATGACGATAGAGAAGACGGCCGACGAGATCAGGAACCGATAACACGAACTGACAACGCCAGAGGCACCACGAACGCCCACTAGTACAAACTCTCTCGTGTCTTAAGGAGCAAGCAGAGAAGCTTCTTTTCAGAGGTAGTAAACCACTTTTACAACGATCAGGAGTTTAGGGCGCTTTTATGATGGAGAGAATTCAACTAAGGACTGCAAAAACCCGGACAAAATTCAATCTTTCCGGGCATGACACGAATCCGCAGAACACTCGCCGCCCACTGCGCTCCCTTCTGGAAAACCCTCACCCAGTTGCATGCGAGCCAAGAACCTCAGGCGCCCTCCAAATCCCCGCGCCCTTCCAGAATCCCCCAGCACACATTTGCAGGCTGATGCGGTGGACTCTGGAGGGGCGCGGGGAATCACATGAAACGAAACCAAAAGACAGAAAAACCAAGAGGAAGCAAGTGGCAAAAGCCGCTAAGCGGAGCACTTCCAGGACGAGGAGGCGACAATAGTGACCGTTTTTGTGCAGTTCTTAGTTGACTTAGCGCCATTCTAATCAGCCATCTGCGGAAGCACCAGAGGCACAGCGAGCACGCCACACCATCGAAACTTAACAAAAAGAGGAGGCGCGAGCCCTTTGGAACTCAAGCGGCAACCGGTCCAGCCCTTCTTGAGAAATGCCACGAAATTGAATAAACCTCTCTATTGTTTGCCGCTTTCCTGCTCGCAAGGCCATTTTTGGAAAAAAATCTGAAGACATCTTTTCACTTTTTTCATCAAAAATGGCCTAGCGAGCAGGAAAGCGGCAAACAATAGAGAGGTTTATTCAATTCTGGCGAAACCCCCGCAAACTTCCCCGCTGAAATACTTCAAAAGAGTGCGAACAACGCCAGCAAACCCCCCCGACAATCTGCGCACAAACGGCGGCGCGCGTGAGTGGTCTGACCATTTGAAGGCGGCAGCGCGTCGCTTCTCTTTGTAACTAATCCCACCCGGCGCGAGAGCTTCGGGGCGCCGGGTGGTCAAAAGTCCAACACTTAACAACATGAAAAGACCCAAGAACGAAGAACCTCGGGCGGAGTGTCTCAAACCTTTCCGATTATGGCGAAAAATTCGACCACAGACAAGTGGAGTTAGAATGGAGAAAATTCAACTAAGGACTGCAAAAATCCGGACAAAATTCAATCTTCTCGGGCATGATACGAATCCGCAGAACACTCGCCGCCTACTGCGCTCCCTTCTGGAAAACCCTCACCCAATTGCGAGCCAAGAACCTCGGGCGCCCTCCAAATCCCCGCGCCCCTCCAGAATCCCCCAGCATACATTTGCAGGCTGGTGCGGTGGACTCTGGAGGGGCGCGGGGAATCACATGAAACGAAACCAAAAGACAGAAAAACCAAGAGGAAGCAAGTTGCAAAAGCCGCTAAGCGGAGCACTTCCAGGACGAGGAGGCGACAATAGTGACCGTTTTTGTGCAGTTCTTAGTTGACTTAGCGCCATTCTAATCAGCCATCTGCGGAAGCACCAGAGGCACAGCGAGCACGCCACACCATCGAAACTTAACAAAAAGAGGAGGCGCGAGCCCTTTGGAACTCAAGCGGCAACCGGTCCAGCCCTTCTTGAGAAATGCCACGAAATTGAATAAACCTCTCTATTGTTTGCCGCTTTCCTGCTCGCAAGGCCATTTTTGGAAAAAAATCTGAAGACATCTTTTCACTTTTTTCATCAAAAATGGCCTAGCGAGCAGGAAAGCGGCAAACAATAGAGAGGTTTATTCAATTCTGGCGAAACCCCCGCAAACTTCCCCGCTGAAATACTTCAAAAGAGTGCGAACAACGCCAGCAAACCCCCCCGACAATCTGCGCACAAACGGCGGCGCGCGTGAGTGGTCTGACCATTTGAAGGCGGCAGCGCGTCGCTTCTCTTTGTAACTAATCCCACCCGGCGCGAGAGCTTCGGGGCGCCGGGTGGTCAAAAGTCCAACACTTAACAACATGAAAAGACCCAAGAACGAAGAACCTCGGGCGGAGTGTCTCAAACCTTTCCGATTATGGCGAAAAATTCGACCACAGACAAGTGGAGTTAGAATGGAGAAAATTCAACTAAGGACTGCAAAAATCCGGACAAAATTCAATCTTCTCGGGCATGATACGAATCCGCAGAACACTCGCCGCCTACTGCGCTCCCTTCTGGAAAACCCTCACCCAATTGCGAGCCAAGAACCTCGGGCGCCCTCCAAATCCCCGCGCCCCTCCAGAATCCCCCAGCACACCTCTGCAGGCTGGTGCGGTGGACTCTGGAGGGGCGCGGGGAATCACATGAAACGAAACCAAAAGACAGAAAAACCAAGAAGAAGCAAGTGGCAAAAGCCGCTAAGCGGAGCACTTCCAGGACGAGGAAGCGGCAATAAAGACCGTTTCTGTGCAGTTCTTAGCTGACTTAGCGCCAATCAAATCCTGATGACGAAGTTAGCGCCTGAGCTTTCTGGCGATGAGTTCGATATGGTCAATGATGCTGGTGACGACCCTGGCCGAGATCAACTAAGACAACAGAAGAAGAGCAACAACAAGGCACTAACACAGACAAACCAGATGACTGAACAAGAACAGGCAGCAACCTCACCTGCATGCACTCTCGTCCACTTTACACGTTTCAAATCAATGAAACAAGTCGGGTCTACTGGATTGCCAAGGCCCACAAAGTGCGGCAGCTTCTTCGTCCACACAGTGCCATCACGTTCCTTGCCTTGGGGGCCAGTAAGTTAAAAAGAAACCCGTCAAGCAAAGGCAAGGAGCGAGGAAGAGAGACCGCTCGCGGCCTCGAACTCGATGGCACTGCCGTGGCGCGCCCACGCTAACAGACAGCGAAGCACATAGGCTGCCGCACTGACGGCACAAAACGGAAACCAACACCCAACCAAGGCCCGCCGGCTAGCAATGCGCGCGGCCTTCCGTTTGGGCCTGTCATACTAACGACGCGGGCGCCCTCGCTCCCTGCCCACGCCGAGACCGACGCAACGCACCCCCCAAGCACTTCAGACAAGCCACGCTCGTCCGAGTGCGACGGACTCCACTGGCGAAGCGTGGCGCCTGAGAGTCCCAAGAAACAAAAAGCCAACACCTAGAACAAAGGCCGCCATTCATATTCACCCTGCAACCACCTACACGCAAACCGCCAAGAAAAGGGCACCGCGCTCTGCACCCTACACGCAAACGACCAAGGAGACCCAGCCACAGCCAACGAACAACAGACAGTCAGAGCTGAGACGAACACGAAAGCCCGAAGAATTTCTGCCCGACGTTCAAGCGCAGAGACCCCATCGCCACCCCAAGACGCTCCAACAGACCAAGCCAGCGCGATGCCTTCGCGATTCTTGAGAAGATAGAAGACACACAGACAGAAAAAACGGGCCGCCAGGTCCCCAAGCGCCAAAGAAAACGCCACCAACGCGGCCACAGACCTGGCCAGCGCCACGCCGTCCCGATCCATGAGAAGAAAACACACCAAGACAGAAAAAACGAGCAGCCGGGCCATCATAGATACTCCAAGGCAGAGCAAGCAGACAGGCACAAACGAACCACGCAACCAAAGAAGCGAGGCACACGACCGCCACCAGAAAAGAAAGGCGCGAAAAGCACGCAAAGACCGAGCCCACGCGCTGCGGATACACTACACGCCAGAAGACAGAGACGAACCGAAACACCCCGACGCGGCTACGGTCTCCTACTCCTTGCGGCTTTTGGCAGGAGCATTTGGACGGCGGCGCCCTTTGCAAGTTTTTGGGCCTTCCACCCTGATGCGGTGGCGGTTTTCTGGGCCTCTTTTTGGAGCGGTTGACGCAGTCAAGACGCCCGAGACTCCGCAACGATCAGAAGGCCCCCGGCGTCTGCGCGTGCTAAGTTTTATGTGTAGACTACGGGGGCCCCGAAGGTCATGGGCCTCAGTCATGCCGGTGTTGCACTTCTCCAAGCCTTACGGCGACGAAAGTTGGGAGACCACCGCGCCCGACAATCACCGGTGGCGAAAAATCTTGGCGAAAAGAAAGTTGCCGAGGCTCACGCGCGCGGCCCTTGTCCTTGTCTCATTAAAACGAGGCCAAGAGGAGCTCCGACAACGAAACCGACACAACCCACACACAGACAAGCCAACCACTGCGCCGAGAGCATCACAAGCCGGCGAACCAGTCCGCGGCGTAGCCTCGCGCCAAATTCTCAAACGAATGCACAACGCCAGAGGCCTACCAAGCCTGGAGAGAAGAACAAAGAAACCACAAAAACCACAGACAACAAGCGCGGAGCCTCATGCGGTTTCGTTGCAAGCTGTTGCGGGTTTGTTCTCGGCGACTCATTTCCATGCCTTCATCAAAAAAAACATGGAAGGCGAAAGCTTCAAAATCTTCGCGGAATGTTTGCGGAAAGTTTACAAGTTTTGACAATGTTGGAACTTCGTGCACTTATCTTTTCGGAAAGATTCCGCAAAGCAAGACTCTTTTGAAAGATTTCGCAAACTTTTCGCGAAGATTTTTTTTTTTCATATAGAGAAAAAAACGAAGCGCCAACCCAGGCGCCCAAGCGCAGAAAGATGGCCAACGCCGCCCCGCTTTGCCACTGCTTCCCCGCCTGCGTTTCCCCCGTCCTCCGCCCGGGTTCTCTACACCTCGAGGAGCTTGCACAGGCGCGCCGCGGCTGTATTCCAAGCAGCGCCGACG